AGTATATGACTATACTGCAGTAATGTATTGATTAGTATATGACTATACTGCAGTACTGTATTGACTAGTATATGACTATACTACAGTACTGTATTGACCAGTATATGACTATACTGCAGTAATGTAATGACTAGTATATGACTATACTACAGTAATGTATTGACTAGTATATGACTATACTACAGTAATGTATTGACTAGTATATGACTATACTGCAGTAATGTATTGACCAGTATATGACTATACTACAGTACTGTATTGACCAGTATATGACTATACTGCAGTAATGTATTGACTAGTATATGACTATACTGTAGTAATGTATTGACTAGTATATGACTATACTGCAGTAATGTAATGACTAGTATATGACTATACTGCAGTACTGTATTGACTAGTATATGACTATACTACAGTAATGTAATGACTAGTATATGACTATACTACAGTAATGTGTAGACCAGTATATGACTATACTACAGTAATGTAATGACTAGTATATGACTATACTGCAGATGTATTGAACAGTATTTGACTATACTGCAGTACTGTATTGACTAGTGTATGAATATACTGCAGCAATGTATTTGATTGTGTTTGTACAATATAAGAACAGTATCAAAGAGTTCTAAACGTTTTCTATCAGTGGGAGTTCTCCCTTGGGACAGTTAAACACCACACATTATCCACACACAAACACACTAGATCCAGACACAAACACACACACCCCATTTTCATATCCACACACAAACACACACACAATCACACTATATCCACACACAAACACACTTTATTAAAGCATAATTTTTTACTTTTGTACAATGTACATCGTGTATTTATAGGATTTCCCATTATAAGCATGGAGATTGAGTAAGGTATTATTTTAAATCGTCGTTGATACTGATGCACACAAGATTTTAATTGTACACAGTTGTAATCCAATAGAAACAGTTTAATTTCGAAAAGTCTTAGCTCAGAATTTCTCGGCTTCCATTTGAGTAGATCTATGAAACTGTATGTAGTGCTCGGCGTTGCCCGTACGATTAAAATATTCTAATTTTGAAGAATTTTGTTTTGTTCCCATTTGTTCCCTCACAAAAAATCCAGCCAATTTGTTTCAGCCGTGTGGCTAACATATAAATATTAAACTATGAGAGAAGAGCTTTATCACATAGATTAATAAAATGATACAGATGGTTATTTGAAAATTTATCTAAATAGCCAATTCTCCGCCAATTCTTAAGCTGCAGACCACATTTCTCAAAGCTCAGAAAACTTACAAAGCTTGTTTGACACACTTCTGGTTATTTGCTAATATTATGCCAAAATCAAGGACAGTTTTTAAGTCGTCTCTGAATTTCCATGTTTATCGGAAATCAGTGTAAGTACAGGGTTACCCACAAAGGATGAGACTGTCAAGACGCCCTGAAATGCCCTATTTATTGATTGGGTAAAGAAAAAAAAGAGGTTTACAGTTGCAGGAAATCATAAATGGAAGAAAACAGTCAATAGAAATTCCGCACAGTCGTCTCTGAAGTCTCATCCTTTATGTGTAACCCTGTATATACGTTGTATAGAAAATAAACCTAATCTAAGTGTTTAACTATCCTGGGACAAGGATTTCAATGATAAAAGTAAATTCAAATTCGTTTCCTTTTTACTCCAAGTAAATTCTATTTCATTCTTCAAAATATCTTTTCTCTCGGGAAATTTCCAGAAATTTGTTTCTTTTAGTTCGGAATAGTGGATGTATGTGTGTTCCTTATTTAATAGTAGATATGTATTTCTTTGTATATGACTATTCACCGACAAAGGGTCAAACGACCCAGGGTCAAACGACAAAGGGTCAAACGACACAGGGTCAAACGACACAGGGTCAAACGACACTGGGTCAAACGACAAAGGGTCAAAAGTGCGACAAAGGGTCAAACGACAAAAGGTCAAAATGATAAAAATATTTTTTGATTTGAATCATAGGAAACTCGCAATTTTAATCACAAAAATCCGCCAAACTTTTTTGAAGATTTAAAACTTTAGTCTGATTCTGGCTTCCATAATGGTCGGGTTGGCAATATAATTGACCATGTGGCCATAGCGCTCGGCCCCCAAGCCTGTCCTAGCCGCAGCGCTCGGCCCAGAAAGTGTCTTAACCTAACCTAACCCTAAATAATAATAAATAAATGGATATAATTGAACATGTGGCCATAGCGCTCGGCCCCCTAGCCTGTCCTAGCCGCTGCGCTCGGGCCAGAAAGTGTCTTAACTAACCTAACCCGTGGCTGCAGCGCTCGGCTCCCCAGCCTGTTCTAGGCGCAGCGCTCGGCCCAGAATGTACCTAACCTAACCTTAAATAATAATAAAAAAATACTAACCGTCAAAATTAAAAAAAATTTGCCCTTTTGTCGCATTTTTTGACTCTTTGTCGTTTGACCCTGTGACGTTTGACCCTGTGTCGTTTGACCCTGGGTCGTTTGACCCTTTGTCGGTGAATCCTTGATGTTTGTTCCTTTGTACTTAATACGTGTTCCTTTGTACTCAATATGTTCCTTTGTAATCAACATGTGTTGCTCGCTTAATACGACAAGCTAGATATTTGTTCAAGTCCTTTGTGTTTGATATACGTTCTATAATGTACTGGATATGTGTTCCTTTGTACTCAATAAGTGATCCTTGCTTAATACTCGATATGTGCTCCTTTGTGCTTAATAGGCGTTCCTTTGTACTGAATATGTGTTCCTTTGTACTGAATATGTCTTCCTTTGTACTTAATATGTGTTCCTTTGCTTAATACTGGATATGTGTTTATTGTACTCGATATATGTTCATTTGTACTTGATTTGCGTTTCTTGCTTAATACTAGATATGTCTTCATTTGTACTCGATAGGCGTTCCTTGGTTAATACTAGATATGTGTTTATTTGTCTTGATATGAGTTCCTTGCTTAATACTGGATATTATAGATAGATAGAGTTTACAATTTACAATTTGATAATTATTTTAACAATACAAGTACAAAGCAATTAGGTGGAAAATAGCTCTTGGCTGTTTTGATTATTTTTTCCACCTAACTTCAATAATGATAACAAAACATTTAAATTAAATAGATTTATGAGGAGAACTATTGGAGATGAGGGTGCGATATTATTCTATGCAAAATAGTTTAAACACTTGTTAGAATATCTCAAGATTATAATGCAAGGAAAGTTAATTGCAGTTCCGTATACTCTTGTCAACCATTAACATTAAGACCCCCCCCCCCACAGTTCATGTAATATCGTCTTCAACTTAAATGCTCCTCTCGGAGTCAAGAATCCAAACCAAACAATTTCAGCCCGCCTTTCTTCCTTGTTCTCCGATGACGGAGTTAAAACGTTTATCAATTGTGAACCATTTCAAAGTTAAACAAAAACATTTCTATTTAAAGAATTAGTGACTTTCATCAACATTTAATTGTCAATCTTTTCAGAAGTTTTAATGTATAAAAAGCGTCTTCGGACTTTTCGACAGATAGTCCCACGAATAGGAAAATAGATCGTAAGAATCTTTTCATTATAAATTTGTAAACCCTGTAATAATTATTTATCATTATTCATTTCGTTATTTTTTTAGGAAATAAAGAGTTTTCTGCATTATCGATTTTGATTCGTGGATTATACCTTGTCTATCTGTTCATCGTCAGAATCTTGTTCCTTTGCGACAACAACTCTGCGTACATATTGAAACCAGTTCTCTCTGGGAGGAATTTGTAAACAAGAATAGATGCATCAGTATTCGTTTAGTATCCAAGGAGGTTAAAAGCATTAAATTGTGATAATATTGATAATTCACATAATAGTTCTCTATGACCAGAATATTTCATTGATTTTTATGTAAAAGGTATAACACATTTTAATATAATTTTCAAAAAGAGAATTTAATAGTCTTTTTTTAAATATTAATAGAGAGTTGCTTCTTTGTAAGTCAAAAGGCAGGTTATTTCATATCTTAAGAAGAGACAGTGACGGTAAATATACTGCAAATAAGCTCATATTGAGAATGTCAAGTAGATTGTTAAGAGATCTTTCAAAGTTTCCATTTTCAAAGTTTTTTAAAAATAGTTCAAATGAACAAAAAAATGTGACCGAAGCTCACGGCCCCCTAGTCTGAACTAGCCGCAGCGCTCGGCCCAGAAAGTGTCCTAACCTAACCTAACCCTGAAATAATACAAAATAATGTTGACCTATTTTTTTTCACTTGAACTATTTTATTTGAACTATTTTTTTGTTCATTTGAACTTTTTTTGCGTTCGTTTAACCTTTTTTTTGGTTCATTTGAACTATGTTTAGGTTCATTTGAACTATTTTTTGGTTCATAATTGAACTCTTAATTTTTAATTGAACTATTTAATTATGTTCATTTGAAATATTTCTTTGTGTTTAAACTATCAATTTAATTGTATGACCATAACTTCCTGAATTATAACAATTAACTGAATTTATAGAAAAATAGTTCAAATGAACCATCTATATAATGTGTTGATTTGAACTATACAGCTGATATGACATCAGTCAGTAGTTCAAATGATAGAATAGTTCAAACGAACAGTAGTTCAAATGAACAATAGTTCAAACGAACAATAGTTTAAATGAACAATAGTCCACCTAATTATCCCCCTCCCTTCAATTACCATTTTTTAAACTCTACTTAACAACCTCCCCCTCCCTCCACCATTTGTAACCCCAATTCCTCACCGTACAACTCCTCACCGTACAACAACCTCCCCCCTCCCTCCTTCATCTTCTCTATCCTTCCTTCTCTCTCTTTCCCCACCCCATCCCTTTAGTTTAGAATTATTATATTATATGTATATGTACGGAATAAACGAAATCGAAATTTCTCTATAATTTATAAAACAGAAGACGATCTAAAATATTCGCTCTAAAATTTGAAACCTACTACACGGCATATGCGCACATTTTATTTTCATTTTGTAACAATTTTAATAACTAGCAAGATTGGAGTTATTGCAACAAATTTATTCTTTAATGAAAGCAAAACAAAGAAAGTAAAGCCAAGTTTTTATTTGATAATGATGTAAACGTTTTAATTTTTAGGTCGAAAATAGAATGTTTTATAAGAAGTCACTTTAGTTCTTAAAATGATGCGCATTTCATATTATTGCATAATATAAGAATTGTTTAAAGGCTCAAATTAAAATGGATTCTAAAGATGAAATTGAGAACAGCTTAGATCCAAGGTAATTGGGTAATTTACTAATGGACGCTTTNCGGGTCCTCCTTTTTAAAATTTTCAACATGTATCTTAAATGTAACAATAAACAATCTAATAATCGGTGATGGTGATTCAATCTTTCATGGCCGCAGCGTTCCACCCCCTGGCCTGTTCTTGGCCCCCTGGCCTGGCCTGGCCTGTTGCTCAGTAATTTACTGTGTTTCAAAGAACTCTGTGGATCAAGGAACTATGTTGCTTATATTTTTTTTGTTCCAAGGTATTCTGTGGATCTAGGAACTATGTTGCTTATAAATTTATTGTGTTCCAAGGTTTTCTGTGGATCTAGGAACTATGTTGCTTATTAATTTATTGTGTTCCAAGGAACTATGTGGATTTAGGAACAATGTTGCTAATTAATTTATTGTGTTCCAAGGAACTCTGTGGATCTAGGAACTATGTTGCTTATTAATTTATTGTGTTCCAAGGAACTCTGTGGATTTAGGAACTATGTTGCTTATTAATTTATTGGGTTCCAAGGAACTCTGTGGATCTAGGAACTATGTTGCTTATAAATTTAATGTGTTCCAAGGTATTCTGTGGATCTAGGAACTATGTTGCTTATTAAGATATTGTGTTCCAAGGAACTCTTGGATCTAGGAACTATGTTGCTTATTAATTTATTGTGTTCCAAGGTATTCTGTGGGTCTAGGAACTATGTTGCTTACTAATTTACTGTGTTTCAAAGAACTCTGTGGATCTAGGAACTATGTTGCTTATTAATTTATTGTGTTCCAAGGTTTTCTGTGGATCTAGGAACTATGTTGCTTATTAATTTATTGTGTTCCAAGGAACTATGTGGATCTAGGAACAATGTTGCTAATTAATTTATTGTGTTCCAAGATATTCTGTGGATCTAGGAACTATGTTGCTAATTAATTTATTTTGATCCGAGTTATTTTGTGGATCTAGGAACAATGTTGCTATTTAATTTATTGTGTTCCAAGGTATTCTGTGGATCTAGGAACAATGTTGCTATTTTATTTATTCTGTTCCAAGGTATTCTGTGGATCTAGGAACAATGTTGCTAATTAATTTAATGTGTTCCAAGGTATTCTGTGGATCTAGGAACACGGTTCCTAACTAGCTGTGAGACTGGGAACACCTATACAGTTCTTGAATCACTTTACTTAGGTGTTGATATAAATCAAAGGTAGGAATCATTTAGCACGTGCTTTTTCTAAGTTAAAGGTTAATCTCCCCCTTGGGGATTCGAGGAAAGAATTTTCGAAGATTGGGGGGAAAAATAATCAATTCGTAATATATTTTGGAAAATAATGATTAAAAAAATTTACCCCTTGGTCATATTTTAAGTGGCGTTTCTAAACTGTTGTTTTCTTGATCTTTAAAATTTCGGCGATTAGGCACTGAATGCTAATTCCGCATTTTATTTGAATTTTCCCTTTTTACGTTTTTTAAGGACAAACATAAAATAAAAAATTAGGCCGGAGTAAAAACTTTTTTTGTTCATTTTATTTTTATTTTTTAAAAGTTTTTTCTTTTTTTTTAAATTCAGAAATTCTAAAGAAGAGTCGGGTCTAATTCTGGCAGTTAAGAATAATCATGAAGAGGTAATTTTTATGTGTTTTAAACAGTGCATAGGATCCGGAGCCGTTGGATCCACAGGATTTCGGCTTCCTGGATCCGGATCCGCAAAATTATGCGGATCCACGGATCCGGCAAAATATCAACTAAAACATGCAAAAAATAAAATTTTACTCTCAAAATCCAAATCTGAACTGAAAAAGAGAGATTATAAAAATTTCCTGATCTCTGAATGGTTAATCAAATTTTAAATAAGCGAAAAAATGCGACAAAAATTTGAAAATTCTGCTTAAAGAAATTTCAGTAAACCTTAAAGAAATGACCTGGATCCGGATTTTATCCGGATTCTTTTTTTTCTCCAGTGCGGTTCCAGGATCCGGATTCGCCTTAAAATTAAATGGATCCTAAGCACTGCTTAAAAGCGTTGTCTAGTCAAGACGTTATTAAAAATTATTTTATTTATTATAAATAAATTTAAATAAAATGACACTGATACTTATCAGGCATCCCCCTCTTTAAATGAAGGTTACTTGACATTTTGACAATCCGTTTAAAGAATCTGTTTATCCAGGTTTTAGATATTCTGCTGGAGATGTCCGATCTGAAGATAAATTTGCAGGATAAGGAAGGAGATACAGCTCTCTCACACAGCACGTGCTCGGGAAAATTAAAAGTAAGTGAGTGAGTCATGAGCAGTGAAGGGTCACACACAATGCTGAGAATCCGGATCTGTTGGATCCGCAAGATTCTTCCTGGATCCGGATCCAAGGGGCAAAATATCAACCAAAAACTGAAAAAAATACTCTCAGAACCCAAATCTGAACTTTTAAAGTGAAAGATTATAAAAGTTTCCTTATCTCTGAATGGTTCATCAAGTTTTAGCATGATGATAAGCAAACAAGGAAAAATATGAATTAACAATTTTAAATTGTTCAGTAAATCTTGAAGAAATGTTCATGACCTGGATCCGGAGCCGCATCAAAATTAATTGGATCCTACATACTGGACTCACTGAGGAGGAGGGAAGGCAAGCCGCACCCGTATAGCCTCTATCCCGCAATTTACTTACAAGCATTGAGTTGTGGCAACGGGCTCACCCATAGCGCTTCCTAGCCGCACCCTCATATCCCTCGGAAAAATTGATTATGGATTTTCTCCTATAATGCAATATTTTGTACATGCCTGCTGATGTTGATATTCCCCAAGAAATGTTTTATTAAGGAAGAGAGAAATTCAATTTTTACCAGTAAAAAACACAGCTTTGCCTAACTATCTATCTACTTATCTGATTTCAGATAACATAATCGCACGCAATACTGCGTTATTTTTGGTAAAGATTAAATTTCTCCGTACATTCAAAAACTTCTTTAGAGAAGATTAACATCAGCAGACATAATAATCATAAAAACATTTTGCCGGAGGATATAGGGGTGAGTTTAGGAAGCGCTACGGGTGAGCGCGTGGCCGCAACTCCATGTTTGTTAGTAAATTGCGGGATGGAGGCAATACGGGTGGGGCTTGCCTTAGCCCCCTCACTCACTCAAACATAATGACTTTAAACGAAAGGGTGAAATTATTTCATCGAAATTTTTTAAATTCTATTTGCACCACCAAACATTTTGACTTTAATAAGTAACATTAACTGAAGTTAAAAATTGGAGAAATCAAAACTTTAAAAATTTTCAAAAACCAAACAGCTGTATACCAACTCTACCAACGAGGCGCGCAACTAGACATTTTGTTAAGAGGGGGCAAGAGGGAAATATTTAGCACGAACATTTTTTTTGTCCCCCCCCCCCTTAAACATTTCTAGGGGGGGGGGGGGCAAAAATATGTGTATTATATTCAAACCATAAAAAACTAACCTAACCTTTTTTTCTTCTAAAAAGTATACCTTTGGGACTGAGACTAGTGGGATTTTTATCAAAAACAATAAGTGAAGAAAAGTTAACTTAATTTCTATTCGGTAGATGACGCAGAAGCTGCTGGAACACCGAGATATCGATATAAACCTGGCAGACCGAGACGGTGTACCACCGTTACACAAAGCAGTCGCCAGCACCCATTTCACACTTACTAAACTAATGTTGGAACGAGAGGAAGGAAACCTACAGTTTTAAGATTGAACTTTTTTGGTGGGGGCGGGGGGGATATTTGTTTTTAAAAACCCTGAAAACACTAAAATCTGGCTAAAAGTACAAGTAAGCTGTCAGGTGTATTAGATGCATATAAAACAAAAACATTTATATGAAAATAGTATTCAGAAATTTATTTTATCTCACAGGATTACATTTTTAAGAATTTATTACGTTCCGGGTCGAGAGAACGGGGGGGGGGGTCGATTTTTGTGCTCAGCTTTTGGGGGTGGAAAAATTGGACATCAAATTGATTTTTCCAACTTTTTTATATTTTTCACCTAAAAATGAATTAGTTTTTCCCTACAGAAAGAGGAGGGGGGAGGGGGGGATACAAACTTTGGTTAAAAAACTATGATCTGTATGGTTGGAATCTAGGACTTGAATGTTAATGCTAAAAGTAAATATGGATTTACTGCTTTAATTCTAGCCGCAGGGCTAGGCAAGGTAAGATAAATATTAAATATCTTCCGAGATATCTGAGCTTAGGAGCCGGATCCGGAAAATATCAACCAAAAACTGCAAAAACATCTTTTTTACTCCTAAAACCCTAATCTGAATTTTTGAAAAAAGAGATTATAAAAATTTCTCCATTTCTGAATGGTTCATCAAGTTTTAGAATAAAAAATAAGCGAAAAAAATAAAACCAAGCAAATTTTTTTTTGTTAAAAAAATTCAGTAAATCTTAAACAAATGACCTGGATCCGGATCCATTTTTTTCCAGTGCGGATCCAGGATCCGGATCCGGATCCGCATCGAAATTAAATGGGTCCTAAGCCCTGCGAGGAGATATAATACAGGTGAAAACATGTATGCAGTGGTCTATATAATTCCATCTCCTATCCGGATGGGATCGGGAATAAAATTACATTTTGGGGGGAAAATACAATTTCTGTGTCATTGTGAACCATCGTAAGTTGTTGGTGTACGTGTACTACACTTCATAAATGTGTACTGCTTTTGGGATGTTCAAAATAAAAACTACCTTGGAACTTTTCTTTTTCTACAACTTGACATCGTAGTTTCACTTGTTTACAACAACAACACTTGTTTACAACAACATCACTTGTTTACAACAATAACACTTTTACAACAACAACACTTGTTTACAACAACAACACTTGTTTACAACAACAACACTTGCTTACAACAACAACACTTGTTTACAACAGCAACACTTGTTTACAACAACAACACTTGTTTACAACAAAAACACTTGTTTACAACAACAACACTTGTTTACAACAACAACACTTGTTTACAACAACAACACTTGTTTACAACAACAACACTTGTTTACAACAACAACACTTGTTTACAACAATAACACTTGTTTACAACAATAACACTTGTTTACAACAACAACACTTGTTTACAACAATAACACTTGTTTACAACAACATTACTTTTTACAACAACATGGTTTTTTTCTGCCACACACATCAATCAATCAACATTTGGGATCGAGTTGGACGGTATTATATAGAAATCTAAATCTTAAAATTCAAAAAGCACTAAACGGAAAGAAGTTCCTTAGGGTTTTTGCAATTACGCGCACGAGGTTGACAAATTTTTGAAAATTTGATTACAGCCTCCTAGATTCCTGAGAAACTTCGTTCCGTTCGGTGCCATTTGGATTTCAAGATTTTAATTATTTAAAAGTATCCTATAGACTGCTGCTTGTACGTTACTAACAGCCGGCCAAACTGTATTTTAGAGAAATGTAACAAAAAAAAGTTTCATTTGACTCTCTTGGTGTCATAGAATCGGAGATATTGGTGGCATATCCCTCGATTTATCCTTAAGACAAACAACAATTTGCGAAAAAATTGCGCTAAACTTTGCTTGGTTGCGAAGTATCGAAAAGATCCGCGAAATATACTGACACCGTGGTTTTCTTATTGAAAGAGACAAAGAATTTTTTACATTACAGCTTGCACAAATAAAAATATTTGAACGGATGCTTAGTTTTTATTCTAACTTAGGTTATTATGTATATTTTAAAATGGGGTAACACTGATCTTAATTTTCAGATTGAATTCGTGGAACTCCTTCTTGGTAGAACGGATATTGAAGTGAATCACGTGGAGGGGAACAACTGCTCGGCTTTGATGATTGCTTGTATGCACGGATATGTCCAGGTGGATAATCTTTGTGACAGAAACAATCTCAAGAACTGACGAGGGTCAACCCAGACCGAAATATATTTTCAATAAATGTGGAACTAACATCTACTTTTTTTTTACTTTACAGAGGTTTGGTCCATCACCATCATCGAATTTTAAATATTTTTTTTACTTTACGGGTGCGGGGGTAAAAACTAGTCATGTAAATCGCAAAAATATTTCAAATAAAATTAACCTTTAAATTCTGTCAAAAGTTTTCTTGGGTGGGAAAATTCAATAAATATATAGATACTAAGCGTTCTGGGCACTGTGCAGGCATGCCCATCTTCTATTTCAATTGTGAACATTTTCTCTTTGTACACATTGTAAAACTAAAACAAAAAAGTTCGCGGATTTTATAAAAAAAAAGATTCTTGGATTTTCAAAACTTAATGAAAGTCGAATTTTGTTAGAGGCTAATTTTTGAAATTTTAACCATTCATAAACCTTCCCTGGGGTCATGTGAGGTCACCTAGGGTCATGTGAGGTCACACAAAAGAATTGGGCCAAACAGACCGACAAGCAAAGTATATATTGATATATTTAAATTAAAAATGATCTGAATTAGGGTATTCGTGCCTTATCACTGCCTGCTATCAGAACCAACTTCAGTTAGTTAAGGTCATTTTTGGATATCCTATTTTGACTTATTTCCATAGAAACAGCTTCTTTAAATTTCTTAAATCTGCCAGCTAATAGATTTTAAAATGATGAAATGCTAAGCTCCCTCATAGAAAAAATGTAAGTCCCCCTCTGGACAAATTCCTGACTACGTCCCGTCCCCAATCCCAAAAAAATGGGGAATTATTCGTATATGAATATAAGTGAATACTCCCTTTAATCTTTAGATTTTGTTGAATCGAGTGGATTTAGACACTACCTGGCAATCTAAGGAACAGCAAATTATCAAGAAAATCTATTAAAACCGAAACTTCCAAACTTGGAAACCCTTTAGAGAATGTAAGCGTAATTTTAAGTGACCTTCCATGCAAAGATGGCCATGCCCGATCAACAATCTTTATCTGATCAATAATGTAGAATACAGTGTCGTTTTTCTAGGGTTAAAAGTATTGAATTCTGATATTTCCTACATGGTTTACTACAGTATAAAATGCGCAATAAGAGCCACAATAGAAAATAATCGGTTTCAAAATTATAATCATTGATATCTAATACATACTTGATTAGAACAAGTTTTAAGTGGTACATTGTGAATCAGGTGTTGCCATCTTTAATTTGAGGGTCACTTGAAATTTGAAATTACGGCTACTGTCCATTAAAAGAGGTAGTCTCATTATTAGTAAGGGTGGGACAATTCGGCACTTTTTTCATATCCTTTCAGCACGTTTCTTAAATAATTTTCTATAATTAAAAAGCAAAACAAAAATTTACATTTTTTCTTTTTGCACTTTTAAATTCATGCGGCGCATCACGTTTTTGTAAACATTAAATGATTAGTGCAAGCAAACATTGTTTTTCTTCAGAACATGTCGATATGGACACCAAAAACTCCGTATTGAAACACTGAATTCAGAAATGTCAAAATCTTAAAAAACGGTTTAAAATAAAATAAGTTAAAGGCAAAAACGGAATTTTAGCGGAATTTTGCCAAATTCTTTCAAAATTTTAGTTTTTGGCCATAGATCAACCAATTTTCACGATCAGTGGTTAGAGGCACAACTTTAGACAGTAGACACCCATGTCGAGATGTTTAGAAAATACTGAAAAATCGCCCTCCATTTGTTACTGTCGGTTTTTTTGTAAGTTTAATTAAACCATTTTTGAAGCGTGTTGGTAATTTTTGAAAAAATTTCATGTTGTCCCAGTGCTATTATTTGCTTTGGTTAAAGGACGGAGACAGTTTACTGATGATGTGCTGTGTCCGGGGGTACACGGAGATAATTGAAACTCTGCTCACTAGGACGGATTTGGATATAAACCATACAGGTATCCTGCTCATAATGCAGTTATCCTGCTCATAATTCAGGTATCCTGCTCATAATGCAGGTATCCTGCTCAAAATGCATCATAATGCAGGTATCCTGCTCATAATGCTAGTATCCTGCTCCTGCGGGGTTAACATACAGTTAAAATACATGATTTTGAATGCAATTTATAAAGCTTCATACTTTTTAATTTCCTAGGACAGCGAGGGTTGTCTCCCCTGATGCTTAGCTGTGTTGAAGGCCATGAAGATATAGTTCGGGTGCTTCTCCACCATCCTAATATCAATATTAATCTCCAGGGCAAGGATGGAGTAACAGCCCTCGGCCTCGCCTGTCTCAGGTCTAATTAATGGACTGTTCAATAGTAATTATACAATGGGAGATATTTTTAGTTTTCAATGTTGACGAAATTGTACATTGTATCTCTGATAGGGAATTAATGGGTGCGGTCGAAAGTCCCACATTCCACTCGTTTAAAGCAGGGTCATCTGAAACTATTAATTCAATCCCTTGAAATGGGTGTAGAAGAAAAATTAGCAAAATTTGGAAAATTAATTTATTTTTAGAGGGGGAAAGTATCAAAAAGGATGAAAAAATTCTATTTTTCCTGCCAATTCTCCTTGTAATTCTGAAAATACATAATTCAATAAATTCTTAATTAATTCTTAAAATAAAATAATTAATTGTCTTTGAGGGATATTAATAAAGTTTTTCTCATGAATTATTAAATTTTTGTATTAAGAGGAGATCTGGGAATTGTAAAAATGCTTCTGCAGAAACCAGAACTAGATATAAACATTAGGAAAATATTAAACATTTAACTAAACATTAACAAAGTGGGCCCCCCCCCCCCTCCCCTCCCATATCTTCCATTATATATATTTATTTATTTACACTTTTTTAATGTAGAAAGTTAACATTGAGAGTTTTGCATTAAAACTGATAAAATTTAAGTTTTTCAATGTTTATGATTTGTAGTATTTATCTATTTATATATTTATTTATTTACACTTTTTTAATGTAGAAAGTTAACATTGAGAGTTTTGCATTAAAACTGATAAAATTTAAGTTTTTCAATGTTTATGATTTGTAGAAGTTCCGACGGTGTTTCACCGTTTACCGTTTCTGTGATAAAAAACCATATTCAGTTGAGCAACCTTCTTTTAACCAGGAATACATTCTAGTAGATCTCTAATTTAGGGAAGTTTGGGTGCATTGCGCCACAACTAAATGGTATAATTTTTTATCAAAAAAAAAACATGATTAAAGGGACTGTAAAGGAAAAATGAAAGGGGGTATAGGCTGAAAGCTAATCACTTTAGGTCTTGATCGCGACCCATGAAAGTTTTATCTGATGTTCCTGTCTCGAGAAATTGATAAAAAACTGTGTTAAAATTATACGAAAGTTCATATATGTAAAAATTAGAAAATCTTAAACTTAAATCACGCCACCAGAACTATCACCAATGGCAGAGCAGTTTACTGGTCACGTGTCTCCGCCTGTATCACGTGACCACTTTACTGCACTGCCATTGGTGGAATTTCTGGTCAAGCAATACGGACGTATAAATAATATTATGAATTAAATCTATTAAAAATAGAAATAACAAATATAAAATTAGAATTGGAGTAAACCTAAGTTACAATTAGCTTTCTCTGGGATATAATCGTTTTCAGATTAGTTGCATATTTGCTGAATTTGATCTATTTAAACCCACTACTTTTATACAAAATTGTATTTCTCGAGATAAGAACATCAGATATGACTTTTATGGGTCGTGATCGAGAGCTAAAGTGATTAGCTTTCAGCCTATACCCCCTTTCATTTTTCCTTTACAGTCCCTTTAAAAAGTTTTTTTTTCAGTTTTTGGTTGATCTTTTTCCCCTTTTATCTGGATCCGTGGATCCGCATATTTTTGCGGATCTGGATCAGGAAGCCAAAATCTTGCGGATCCAACGGATCCGGATCATAAGCACTGGTTGGAGCCATCGGTGCGTACTATAAATACCCCGTCGAAACGTTATCTATATTGTGTTGACCGTAGACCTGACCTGAACCTGAGTGTAGAAGATACTGAACCTGGTCTAGATCCTCTTCATATTGCAGCCTGTAAAGGACAAGTTCAACTAGGAACAATACTTATTCTTTTTATCTGAAAAAAATGATATACAAGGTGTTCAACATCATTTCGGATCGATATGGCTCTAAATTGCGATTTTCGGGACTAATCAGAAATTTTAAGAAGAATGAATCATTTACAAAAATTGTATTAGCCAAATATTAATTTGCATTCAGAAAACATAAAGTTTTTCGATTATTATGTGCGTATTCAATATTCATCGTTAAATCTTAGAGATAATCCAATATGACATGGATAAATGATTTAATGATTTAATGATTTAATGATTTAATGATTTCATGATTTCATGATTTCATGATTTCATGATTTCATGATTTCATGATTTCAAAGAATCAAAGAATCAAAGAATCAAAGAATCAAAGAATCAAGGAATCAAGGAATCAAGGAATCAAGGAATCAAAGAATCAAAGAATCTAAGAATCTAAGAATCTAAGAATCTAAGAATCTAAGAATCTAAGAATCTAAGAATCTAAGAATCTAAGAATCTAAGAATCTAAGAATCTAAGAATCTAAGAATCTAAGAATCTAAGAATCTAAGAATCTAAGAATCTAAGAATCTAAGAATCTAAGAATCTAAGAATCTAAGAATCTAAGAATCTAAGAATCTAAGAATCTAAGAATCTAAGAATCAAAGATGAACCAACGATGAACCGACGATGAACCGACGATGAACCAATAAATTAAAAGTCCAATCGATCAATCAAACAATAAACAAATCAGCCAATCAACAAGTTGATTGATTATGAACCATTTTCTAAATCCACTAATATGTAACTAAATCAACCGTCTTGTAGCTAAATCAATCAACTCATAATTAAATCAACCAACTTATAAATCAATCAGTAACCCATCCAGCTAGATGTTAAAATTTTGAAAAATCATAAGAGTTGTGTCTGTAGTTAGAGATTTAATATGTTTTGGTTGTAATATTAATAGAAGACATGGCTCATCCTTTACAGTTATACCAGCTGTTATTATGAAATGTCAGGTAAACTACAGGGAGCCCCACGAAGCATGACAGTAGCAAGACGAATTGAATGTCGTCTTCAAACTCTTGAGTTTAATTGTGACATTCAGTCTTAAACTTTCTTTCTAATATGTGATTCTTAAAACAATAACCACAAGTATTCCTAGTCCTGGCAATTCTAAAATGTAGTCTGCAGCTTTTATGCTGTCAATTTTACTAGATTTCAATTTTATTAAATTAAACAAAAACTTTCAAAATCTGAATAAAATTCTTTATATCTCCGATAATATTGAAAGCACAAAAAAAGGCAGACCACATTTTGGAAATGTTAGGAGTAGGGGTATTTTGTTAATATTAACTCTAGAATTTTACTTCTTATATAAAGGTTATGAATAAATGCAGTTAATTATTTTAAAGATCAAAAACGACCTTCAATTCGTCTTGCTGCTGTCATATTTCGTGGGAAACCCTTCATAAAAATAGATATTATGCTAAATGAGGAAAAGTTAATGGGTATCGGAAACAACAAATGAACTTTATGATAAACTGTATCTCAAATTGACCAAAAAAAATTTAATTTAGCGTTCATATTTTCATTTATTTTCTGAGAGCATCGCTCTTGAAAATATACAGTAAATACCTCTTATACATTTATAGTTTATATATTTTTTTTTTATATAATTTCAATTTTTTGTACAGGTTGGAAATTATTAAACATGATGCGAAGTATCCTTGAACTACTGATATCCATATATAATTATTGTATCCAGGATATAAATAAGATGCGAAGTATCCTTGAACTACTGATATCTGCTGGTGCACGACCTACCCTGGATCATGTAACTATCGCCGTATTGAGGTAACATGTTTTGTTAAGGTGCTAATCCCTGGAAACAGGGGTGAAACTGCGTGCGGGCGGCCATTTTATGTGCTGGTCTAAGCTTTCTCTCTCTACTCTCCTGATGTTTATCTTATCATCTTTATATTGTTTCCAGAGTTCCTGATGTTTATCCTTTGATCTTTATATTGTTTCTATAGTTCCTGATGTCTATCCTTTGATCTTTATATTGTTTCTATAGTTCCTGATGTCTATCCTTTGATCTTTATATTGTTTTTAGAGTTCCTGATGTTTACCCTTTGATCTTTATATTGTTTCTAGAGTTCCTAATGTTTATCCTTTGATCTTTATATTGTTTCTAGAGTTCCTAATGTTTATACATTGATCTTTATATTGTTTCTATAATTCCTGATGTTTATCCTTTGATCTTTTGTTCCTAGAGTTACTGATGTTTACTGTTTCCAGAGTTCCTGATGTTTATCCAAAAATCTTTATAGTGTTTCCAGAGTTCCTGATGTTTACCTTATGATCTTTATAGTGTTTCTAGAGTTCCTAATGCTTATCCTATGATCTTTATATTGTTTCTATAGTTCCTGACGTTTATCCTTTGATCTTTATATTGTTTCTATAGTTCCTGATGTTTATCCTTTGATCTTTATATTGTTTCTATAGTTCCTAATGTTTACCCTTTGATCTTTATATTGTTTCTATAATTCCTGATGTTTATCCTTTGATCTTTATATTGTTTCTATAATTCCTGATGTTTACCCTATGATCTTTATAGTGTTTCTAGAGTTCCTAATGTTTATCCTATGATCTTTATATTGTTTCTATAATTCCTGATGTTTATCCTTTGATCTTTATATTGTTCCTAGAGTTCCTGATGTCTATCCTCTAATCTTCAAAGCCATGGTTTCTCCTCTTTCTTTACTCAAATCCTCAAGACAAGCTGTATTCAATCAACTAAGGTTATTATTAAATCAATTAAATATTTACCTATTAAATCAATCAATCAATAATTGGCTAGTTGTATAATTTCTCAATCATTTGATAAATTGATTATCTCAAAAATAAGTCCATTAGTAAAAACTTTTTGGTTAATTATCAATCAATCAATTGATTAGTTTATAATAAATGAAATTATTAGAAGTACAGTAAATCAATAAATTAACTGATAAGCGATATAAATCACCGAATTGATTAGTCATATGGGCAGGCAAATCGATCGGTGAATTGATTAGTTTCTACTAAATTAATCATTCACATTTCTATGATAAATCAATCAGTCTCTTAAGTAGTCAATTAGTTTTACGAAAAATCAATCAATTAACCAGTTGATAAGTGATATAATCGATCATTCACTAGTCCTACAATAAAACAATTGATTATTGATAAGTTATGATAATCAATCAATCCATTGATAAGTCCTACAGTAAATCAATTAATAAAGTAAATAGTTGTTTTTCTTAAAATAAATTAATTCAAATTTTTTTATTATTATTTATTTTACTTTTCTCATTTTTTCAGAATTGTGTCAGAGGGGAGGAATATTGGTGGTCTAGTAGATCAATTGAATACTGAGATACCAGCAACACTAGTACAGTTTCTCAAATTTGATCAACCTCTAGGCAATGACATCCAATAGTTTTTTGAATTTTTTTTTTGTTGCTTAAAAATTGATTCGCGCATTTCTGCATCAGTGACAAAGAAGGGACAAGTCAGAAAAAAACCTACAAGCAAGAAAAATGGCGATAATATTCACATTATTGATCCGTAAAAGGGGCTGTTTAAGCGTAATTTCAATTGGTCCTCCATGCTATGATGGAAATGTCCGATTTATGACGGTACCTTGAAACCTTTTGTCTGGTCAAGTATGAATTAGATATGCAGATTTTTTTGTTTTAACTGTTTATTTTCTTTTGTGGTTTCTCTGCAAAAAAATATGCGCATTTCTTGCGTGTACGAAACAATGGATAAATTCACAGAAATGATCACTTTATGCTTACCTTCCACTTTTTTGATCAGATTAAGGATTCAAGGGTACCGTTGTGAATCGGGCGTTGCTATCTTTGCTTGGAGGGTCAGTTTAATTACGCTTACAGTTGTGAATTCTTTTTTTTTGAAGAATCTTCATAAATTGCATAAAATAATAGTTTTCAATATTCTCTCAGAAAAGTTGCTTAAATTATATTTTAATTCTAATTAATGTAATCTAAATATTTATTTATCAAAAATAAGGTGCAAATTATTTCTTTCCAAGAAATATATACATTGTGATAAAATAAAAATTTTCAGATACAAATTTGAAGAATGCTGGGATATTGAACGGAGTAGATTAAAATGGATAATAAAGGCAAGGGAAGAAATGGAATATGTGAGCAATCTATCAGGAAATAAACTGGATATTTTAGATGTACTTTTATTCACTGAAGGATGTATTCACACACAAAGATTTACATACATTTAATATAAAATCGGACCTTTCCATGCATGGTTCATTGGGACATCAAAATATTTCATTTGTTTCTTAACTAACATTTTACTTTGATTAGATAGATTGACAAAACAATCCTTTGCAATGAAAGGTAAATTTTCTGCCAAGAACTGTGTTAAAGTCAGTTTGCATAAATTGGAAAGGAATCTAATGCAAAGCTTAGAACTTGCTTCAATAGTCTCATATAGAAAGACACACATCTACTAGCTAACATAGTTTTTCATGTAAACATTGTGAAATACTTTCAATCAAGTTCCCATGCGTATCTCTAGGCATATTAAAAATAATTGAAAATAATTGAAACTTAAATATGCATATATATTTATGCCAAGTATATCTGATAAGTAAAATACAGATTATTATTGCCAAGTTTATAAAGTTAAAATAATCCAGGGACATAATATTGAACCAGGGATATAATATTGAACCAGGGGTATAATATTGAACCAGGTATATAATATTGAACCAGGGATATAATATTGAACCAGGGATATAATTTTGAACCAGGGATATAATTTTGAACCAGGGATATAATATTGAACCAGGGATATAATATTGAACCAGGGATATAATATTGAACCAGGGATATAAAATTGAACCAGGGATATAATATTGAACCAGGGATATAATATTGAACCAGGGATATAATATTGAACCGGGGCTATTATATTGAACCAGGGATATAATATTGAACTAGGGATATAATATTGAACCAGGGATATAACATTGAACCAGTGACATAATATTGAACCAGGTATATAATATTGAACCAGGGATATGATATTGAACCAGGGATAAAACATTGAACCAGGGATATAACATTGAACCAGGGATATAATAATGAACCAGTGATATACAATATTGAACCTGGTATATAATATTGAACCAGGGATATAACATTGAACCAGGGATATAATATTGAACCAGGGATATAATATTGAACCAGGGATATAATATTGGACCAGGGATAAAGTATTGAATCAAAAATATAATTTTGAACCAGGGATATAATATTGAACCAGTGATATAATATTGAACCAGGGATATAATATTGAACCAGGGGTATAATATTGAACCAGGAATATAATATTGAACCAGGGATATAATATTGAACCAGGGATATAATATTGAACCAGGGATATAATATTGAATTAGGGATCTAATATTGGACCAGGGATATAGTATTGAATCAGAAATATAATTTTGAACCAGGGATATAATATTGAACCAGGGATATAATATCAAACCAGGGATATAATATTGAACCAGGGATATATAATATTGAACCAGGGATATATAATATTGAACCAGGAATATATAATATTGAACCAGGGATATATAATATTGAACCAGGAATATAGAATATTGAACCACATAATGTTGAACCAGGGATATATAATATTGAACCAGTGGCCGAATTTAAAGAATTTGATCGGCGGTTTAAATTTAAGCCGCGGTTTAAATATGGTTGGTTCCACTTAAAATTGTATTAAATGTTTCAAGATTTAAGCCGGCGCTAAATTTAAACCGGGTTTTGGCGGATTTAAACCGCGGCTCAAATTCTTTAAATTCCATCTCAGGAATATATAATATTGAACCAGGGATATATAATATTGAACCAGGAATATAGAATATTGAACCGGGGATACATAATTTTGAACCAGGGATATATAATATTGAACCAGGAATATCATATTGAAGCAAGGAAATAAGCAGAAACTGGTTTATTGTGCCCGTTTCGGGAATTTTAGCGTTTTTTCCTGAATACGATACCTAGATCACAGGAATTGTTCAGCTATTAACATGATGGGGCAAATTCTCCATGCGCACCTCTTTAATACACTTGAGTTTCTTATATTCTGTATTTCAGGTATATCGTTACAGAGCTGAGACCTGTGAACTGAAAAACAATACATCAGTCACGGGTTAAATAAATAATAAATTAGTATTAGAATTGTTTAAATGAATAAAATTAGCCAAGTTTACATTAAAATTTGCTCCAGGTGTGCTAAGTGTGATTATGTTGTAACAACAATTATGAATTGAGATAACACTTACAATGTGCTAAATGTTAATAAATTGCAACAAATATATATGAATTCAATTTTTTTTCATTCCACTTTAAAAAAATCTTCCTCCCCTAATTTGCTTACTTTTTTATAAATTTCTAGAAAGTATTTGTTACATTATCTTTATTTTTAATTTTTAATAATTTTGGTCATTTTCTGTAGGACTGATGAGGATATGAAATATATCGAAATTAATTTCCAAACCCGAGTTTTTCTACCTGTGAGAGTGAAACCTTTTTTTGCCAGTTTGGGCAATTTACATATGAATTACTAGCCTTATAGGGCGCTTCGCGCCCATCTTCTAAATTAATTGTGAACATGTTCTCTTTGTGTACATCGTAAAACAAAACAAAAATAATTCGTGGATTTTCACAAAAAATTTCGTGGATTTTCAAAATTTTCAAAAATTTAATGAAGATCGAATTTTGATGGAGACAAATATTTGAAATTTTGATCATTCATAAACCTTCCCTGGGTTCCCTAGATGTCCCACAAAAAATTTGGGCCCGGTCGGTTCAGCCGTTTTGACGTTTATTGGATACAAACAAACAAACAAACAAACAAACAGACAAACAGACAGACTAGCCAAATTTATATATGAATTAAGCTAACACTTACAAAGTTGATTAGGCCGGAGAATTTAATAGCTCTAAAGTTGGATGATCGTTACCAGCTGTCTCTTATACATAACTAGAAATAATAAGATGAGTTTATATGATGGCTTATCATGTGTTAGAGGAGATAGTCACATTTTCGTCTTTAATTATTCACAAAGATCACACGAAACTTGATTATATACCTTTATCTGCTTAATAGCAGCAGTCCCGGTTTAGAGAAGCAGAGGAGATGCTTCCGACGGGACTTCTCCAATAGGGAGGTAGTGAAGATGATGATTGGATCCGAATAAGGTTGAGTTAAACATCAGATCTCAATCTCGAGGACAATGATGAGATCTAAATAAGATTAAGTTAGACATTAGATCTCATCTTGAGAGCAGCTTCATATTTAATCTTCACCTTTATCTGCTTAATAGCGGCAGTCCCGGTTTAGAGAAGCAAGGAAGACGCTTCCGACGGGACTTCTCCATGTAGGAGGTGAAGACAATGATGCCCAGCAGGGAGATACTCTGCAGGCGGTTTGGTTCAGCTCGACAGGTTCATCGTGCTTCCAGCTGCAAACAGGCAGTCTGCAGCTTGTGTAGCTGAATCTGCTCTATCAAACTCTCGTTAGATTGAAGAGATCATCCTCGTCCAGGAGTACGGCGTGGGTAGATCAGAGGAGGAGGAGGTCTACGAAATAAGGGAGTAATTAGTCTCGGATAAGCTTCAAAAGTTCTAAGTTATTTAAGAACGTATTATCACTTGTTAATTCATTAGTTCATGGTTCAGGTCAGGCGTTGAAATACGAGAATGATCTGGATTCACTTTATACAACATCCATAAGTTTTAAAGAGCTTAAATTCGAAAGGTTTAGGCAGTGTTTACGTTTACATTTAATTAAGATGTTTTATAAACCTAGTATTGCACAACCTGGAGTACTAAGACAGGATAACGCAGTTATCCTAGCCCATTGTGGTCTGAAATATATAGACCATTAAAATGATTTTTTAAGTTATAGGCTCTTTTTCAAGTATAAATCTAGATGTTGTAAAAAAGCTTTTTAGGCTTGAGAATATAAAACTTTTAGGCCAGAGTGATACATTTAAAGTAAAAATTTAGTTAGACTCAGATAAAAACTCAGGTATAAGCTCGAGTAACTATTTTTATATAGGATGAACAAGTTAGAATAGATGAGTAGGTCTTCATGTGCTTCTTCAGATCACAATTTCTGGATTCAACCTGAACATCAAGATTTAAGAAAAGATCCGTAGATCTTACATTTATAATATTCAGTTTAATCAAAAGGAGCCGGTCAGCTGAATTCCAGCAGCTGTGGGAAGGAGTAGATGTGAACTGTGAGTTCCTTGTCCCTTCTGACCCACCCCCTTGGCTAGATCAACAACTGTATCAACGAGGACTTGAGTAATTATAATCATTTTCAACTACTAAACAGGGAAATTAAGGGAGCTTTACTTTACCAGTTTTGCTTGCAAATCATCAAGAGCGCAACGAGGAATGTTCATTTAGACAAAATTGGTAAAGGGAACTTGTGGTTCAGTAAAATTGTTATTTTACCGTAAAAGTAGAATTGTACACCACTTTTTGTCTTTTGAGATGAAAATGCGCGTTTTTTCCCACAAATATTTCGCAGAGTGGATGTTTTTTTTATAACTGTCCCAAGGAATGTTAAGTAACTAAATTTTCCTCTGATGGAGGAATATTAGTTCAGTAATATTGGCCCAAAGGCGGTAAAATATTCAATTCTGCTTCTTAAAAACATTAAAATATAAGTCAGCTGTTTTCCACGGATTTAAAACTTAATTGCTTCAAATCAAAAGTTTTGGCGTTGTTTTCTCTCATGCAAAAGAAACTGTTGCCATAAGAAATTTCTACATTAAGTGGTTTATTTTAAATATTAATATTTTTGACTATTTAGGTTTGTGAATGATAATTATGTTGGTATCGTGATGAGTAACGGAGAAGCTCTAGTTTCTGGTTTATGTATTCCAAGCTTTTATAAAGCTCTTCTCTTCTCCGGTCAAACTAATGCTAAAAGAGCAGCTTTAGGTCAGTTTTGTTTATGTTTAAAGGGACAGTAAGCCTAATTTCAAGTGACCCTCTTTCAAAAGAGTGACATACCTTAAAAGCTTTGTGGGATGAAGTATGACTTGGATATAATTGAATATGTTTTTTTTCCACCGATTTATTTTCACTTGAGGTTTCTCGTAAAAAGTAAATCTTGTATTTCTGGTTTCAGACACGTTGGAGAAATTATCAACATTAAACATTTAAGCGAGAAAAACAACGTTAACTTCCCTAATAAATACGACAACAGTAACAACGTTAACTTCACTAATAAATACGACAACAGCAACAACGTTAACTTCACTAATAAATACGACAACGGTAAGGAGGGGGGGGGGTTAACTCTTAAAAATATACACCCTTGACATAATGGCATTTCCAGTGCGTTTCAAACTTTGTCTAATTAAGATTGTATGATCCATCGACACATTTCTCTTTAAAAATTGGTTATTTTAATTTTTTTGAAAAAAGGGAGAAAATGTCAGAATACTTTTGAGGTAGAAAAGCAACGATATATTTTACATTATAAACCATAAGTACTTGGGCATACCCCTCTTTGAATGGGAGTGGAGCCGCCGGAGCGTCACTTTGAATTACCAACACAGTTCCTTTAAGTATTGCATCAAAATATATTAAATAATATAATTATAGACTTCCAAATGAAGTTCTGGATATTTAAAATAAAATTATTTACTTCTTGAAAATATGTTCTGAATTTTTGGAATTCAAGGTTTATCTATAAAGCTTGAGGTTATAGAATGATATAAAAGTTAATGAATTTAATAATATAATTTATGAAAATTTTCTGATTGCAAATCTTTTGAAAACACTCTTTTCTCCAGATTTGGAAGAGAAAATTATTTATTTTTATTTTCTTGCAACGAATAAACAACATTTCAACTTTAAAGTTTTCAAAAAGCCATTTAAAAAATATTTATTGTCTAATCTTTCTTTTTTAAGTCTGAGTCGAATAAAAGTTTAAGAACTGTCACAACAATGCACAAACGTGTTGCAGATAAAATGAGGTATTTAAAAAAACTGACAGTGTACTGCTTCTGCTGTACTGTGTAAACTGTAAAGTCTGTGCTGTACACTAGTTTCCGTGTACACTGTACATGTAATTCTTGATTTTTTCTGTTTAACCTTTTCTTATTTTCTTGTTTTAGAATATTTAGCTTGGAAGCTGCAGTTATTGATGTGTTTTCAGTTAATTAGTTCTACCAATGCTTTTTTTCAATGGTCAAAATTTGGCATATCGTGTAAAAGAGCAAATATTTTCTAAATTTTACTTATTCTAAACATTTGCTTTACTTTCACTTAGTTCTGACCCTGACAGAAGATATATGCAAAAAAGCTATTAAAATACGATCCAAAAATGTTGCAAAAACAAGCGTGTTGTAACGATCGTGTCTGGATCGTTTTTTCGTTTTTGCAAAGTTTAATAAAATACTTTAACCTGACATAGATTTGAAATATTGAAATGGTTCAAGACGATTAGCAGCACTAGGCGCCTTTGTGGAAATCTTCGAATTTTTAGGATTAAAGAAAAAAACGTATTTGGGTTAAAACACTTTTGTTTCAGGAGTGCAGGCGATGATTTTGAAGAAATAGTTCGAAGTAAAAGTGAACCCATTGTAGAACAAGATCAAGCGGAAATACTTTTCGCGGATTTATTCCAGTTACGCCTTCAGTCACGTGATACATATCCAGAATACGAATACTTTGTAAACAATAAGCTGAAGTTTACCCAGTTTGACATGGTGTTGGTTCAAATAGCATTCTTCGGAGGCGTTCTGCTTTACCCTGAGTGGTACGGGTTTAACGGCTCAGGTCAGTAAATTACAAGTTAAATATTAGTGTCGCAAGGTGTCTCTGTGTTTAAAAACTACTTCTTACTACATCATTTCATTGTCCGTAATAGAAATATCAACCTTCTCTTTGTATTTTCTTTTGTTAATTCAATACTTTTTTGTTGATTTAACTGTCGTTCAGATGAAGAATTGCGGGGTTTCTTGCATGTTTGGAGAGTTTTTGGTTACTATCTTGGAATAACTGATAGGTAGAATTGTTTATTTAATTGGTATTTAGACTGGTTTGTTGGTCGTGGATAAATATGACATTTGATTGGCCAATTGAAGAGTTTTTTTATTTTGATCAAATTTGATTGGTCACGTTAATGGTCTTTAGATAAGACGTCTGATTAGGCATTATATTTGACATATCGGAATGATCAGTTAATCAGTTGATCAGTTGATTGATTATTTGATGAGTGGTTATTTAAATGGACAAATAATAAGTTGTTTAAATGTGTCATATGATCAGCCGTTTAATTGATTATTTGATCAATCATTTGATTTGTAATTTGGTAAATTAGACAAAGTATTGAACTTATGTTTTTTTTATAAATGAGCTCATTTCTCTTGATACATTGTTTTGCATTCAGTCATTTTAAATGCATTTAAGAATAATTAAATATTGTTTTCCTTTCCTCCTTTTCAGGAAATTATTTAATTAAAGTAAATCCATTGTTTAGATTTAACGGCGCCCAGTTTGATGTTGAAGTGTGTCGAAGGCTTGGTTATGAATTGATTGAGTTGATAATTAAACCATCATGTCTTAATATTGATTACCAATCTATCTATCTCGGGCAGAAGATATTTAAATATCCGGCACAATATTACGTTTGGATTTACAGGTTTTCTTTTAGATTTGAAATAAATTTAGCCTGAAGACTTTTGTGAATACTAGTGCTTAGGATCCATTTCGTTTTCGTCCGGATCGGAATCCTGGATCCGCCCTGAAAGAAATTGATTCTGTTCCATGAACGTATCTTAATGGGTTTACTGATTTCTGTTTATCTAATAGAAGAATTTTTAATTTGTTTTTCCTTTTTTTAAAATCATTTTCATGCTAAAACTTGATGAACCATTCACAGATCAGGACTTTTTAAATTCTCTTTTTTCCACAGCTTAGCTTTGGATTTTGAGAGAAAAAAGTTTATTTTTGCAGTTTTGGTTGATATTTTCTCCATTGGATCAGGATCTGGATCCTAAGCACTGCTTATGAAGAAGGAAGAAAACTGCAAGACTATTATGAACATGAAATACAGCTTCTTACATACATATATTTGTATATATGTAAATGTTAGCTAAAGCAGGCAAAATGGCTGGACCGAATTGGCTGATTTTTTTAAGGGAACCCATGCTTTAGATGGAGAAAAGCTGTTTTAGATAGAAAAAGGACCACATCATTAAAATTGCTTCTTAGATGAAGGTTTATCGGGCAATTTTTTAGAAGTTCTGAACTAAAAGCAGAATGTCAGTAAATATATATTTATTAAGAACCTATTGTATGACGGGATTAGAGTTGGGTCAGCTTTGGAAAAGTTTTACCTGGAAACAGTGCTCTTCGTATTATATCAGGTCGGAAAATAAGAATTTAATAATTGACGTTATTTCAAGGGACTCTCCCTTTTTATAGATTTCCAGGTCTGATTCACAAGGATACACTTAAAAACTTTGTCTGATAAAGAATGCATAAGATATTCATCTTTTGCAATTTGATAATGGATTATTCAGTTGTGTAACCCAGAGCTTCATAATTAATTATCAAATAGGAAGAGATGAATATCTCATGTATTCTTGATCAGCTGCTTCAAAAAAATGTTACAAACAATACTGTGTTTAGGTCTTGGTTCAGTTCCTACATCTATCCTTGGATTGGAATAAAGCAAGTTTTCAACAAAATAGTGCTCACATCACTCAACGTTTTCTTGGAAAAATTTAAGAAAAAAGATTGATTTCTATTAAAAAATTATTTAAATTGTAAATTATGTATATTTGATATATCTATTATTAATCATTAACACTGAGATCCGTGATTATCAGGGTTTAAAAATACCAAATTATGATGAACAAACTGAAACTATTCCGGGGTATCTACTTTTTCAGTCCTTAAAACCCTTAACTTGCAACTCCCTCCCATTTTAACGAATTTACGGTTGATTTTTATTTGATCAATTTATTTTAATTTTCGTTGAAAAAGATTTTCGGAGGTTTAAAAAGTTTCAAATTTCAAGTACCCAACTGCATACAATCTACGGAAAGGGTTCAGATTTAATCCTTAAGGGGACCGTTCACTTATTTGGATAATTTCTGGGTAAACTCAACAGCCTATTCGCTGTTCATTAGTATTAGTCTTACTTTTTAAAGACAGCTGTAGCCGGAGATAAAGCCTATTTTTCGTGCAGAATTTGAGCTCAACGGTATGGTACGAAAAATCGGCTTTTTTCCGGCCACAGTTGTCTTTGAAAAGTAAGACTAATACTAATCAACAGCGAATAGGCTGTTTAGACTACCCTGAAATTACCCAAATAAGTGAACGGTCCCTTTAAAAATAGATAGTAAATACCCATGATCTATAAAACAAATATAAAAAATGTGATACTGATAATATTGACCAACAATTGTATGACTGGTCGCTCTTTAGTAATAGTAATACTCAAAAATTTAAAGAATAGTACGTTATGAATTTGTAAAATTTAGATAAATAAATTTCAGAAAAATGAGCGATGAAGAAGACATATTTAGGGCAGTAACCCCTGACCTTTACGGTAAAGCTATACGATAAGATAATATAAGAGAAGGATGTGAAAACCCCCCCATCTTGGAGAGCCCAGACCGCCATCGGAGCTAACTCCACTGAGCTGTGGTATAGTTTGTAGAAAAGTTAGATTTTAAAAAACAGCCAATAGAACTGGGAATCTGANCTTGAACTAGTCGTAAGGTCGGAGCTTAAGCAATGCGTTAATTCGTACCGTTCGAGTCCAAGGGATTAAATTTCTTTTGGGTATCTCTTAACATCTGACCAAGCAGAAGTCACAAAAGTGTGTTCTATGACAAGAAGAGATCATAAAAAATATGTTTCTTGTGTCCCCGCTGTAGCACTTAATTATCAAAAGTTTGAAATTGACTTGAATTTCACTCTCACATAGAAAATGTTTTACATCAGGTCTTCCTTTACTCTTTCAGATACAGCTATTACTTTTTAATTTCATATTTTTTATCTCGTCCGGCTTGAAAAATTATAAAGCTTTTCTGTAAAAAATTTAATTTTAAAGATGATTCATTTAAAATTCGAAGTTTTAAGAATGTTTTAAACATTTTAAAAGGGAAATATTTTAGGTTCCCGTGTTAGAGATGACAATGAAGTTCTGGAGTCTTCCCCTGTAATAAGGTTGACTCAATTTTAAGATTCTTTAACAAAAATGTCTTCGCTTCGCACCCATTTTCTAACTCAACTTTTAATTGTGGCTTTATCTCTGAGCATCTTCTCTTTGTACAGTATAAAACAAATACATAGAAAAGTTTGCGGATTTCATAATATTTTTTCGCACATTTTCAAAATTTTATACGAATAAAATTTTAAACACAAATTTTTTAAATTTTGATCATTCATATACCTTCTCTGGGGTCACGTGAGGTCCCACACAAAATTTGGGCCCGATCGGTTCAGCCGTTTTGATGTTCATAGGATACAAACAAACAAACAGACACCCAAGCTAAATTTATATATAGATTAAAAGGATTGTTAACGTAAGTTCAAGTGACCCTCCATGCAAAGATGGCAATGCCCGATTCTCAACACTAACCTAAAAAGCATGATTAAGTATGAATTAAATATCGATGTATAAATATAATTGTGGTTTCTCTACAAAAAATAACTTGTGCATTTCTAATGCAAGAAAGCAATAAGGTGTTTTTTAGTAATATACACTTTTTATCTTCAACATTATAAATCAGAAATTTAAAATTCGGTGATGGTGATGGACCAAACCTCTGTAGAGTAAAAAAGTAGATGTTGGTTCCACATTTTTTGAAAATATTTTTCGGTCTGGGTTGACCCTCGTCAGTTTTAACGATATAATAACCATCAAAAAAGATAAAAAAAAAATGTTGTTTAAAAATCACAAGAAAAAAGATAATTCGCAAAATCAGTCAAAAGTTTCAAGGTTACTGCTGTAATGTTAATCGAAAATTGCCATCTATAAATGGGGGTTCACTTGAAAGTACACTTACAGTCCCTTTAAGAATCGTTCACGCCTCGTTCCAAGGCTTTATGATTCAAAGATGGTTGAAATTTAGATCTCAGCAACCTCAGCCCAGAACCAGGTCCACAGCCTCTCATAGAAACATTCAGAGGATATTAGAGGCTGATACAGGTAGGACTTATGTGTTGTTAATTCAGGGAGAATAATAGTAATTCAATTTGTTGTCTTTCAATAATAATAATTATAATAATAATAACATCATGTTAACGATTACAATAATTTATCAAAATAAATTCATATATCTAGATTTATTTACAATATTCTTTACCCAAATTTGCCCCATCTGTTGTTAGCGAAAGGGTTATAGCTGGCAGATCTTATCTTATCTTACCCTAAAATTTTTTGATTTTTAAAAATGTATTTGTTAGCAAAATAATTATAAACAAACAAACATAAAGAAACATGAATATGCGGAAATAGTAAAGATACGTTAACCAAGAGTAGAGTAGGAGTAGGATTCGGGTCGGGGAAAACACGTTTTACGGTATTAAGCATAAGTTATGCACATGTTAATCTGTATCTTTTGTCGCTCAAAGGATTAGATTTATTCCTCTGTGATAGCATATGGTCGGAGGGAGGAATGACTAACTAAATATTAGGGTGAAGCACATTGTCTAGAAATTAAGAAATAGTTACAATGTTTATTGTGTAACAGATGCTTTAGATCCAATTCTATTCATGTGAATCAAGTTAATTTGTAATTATTTTGATTCTTTTTGATTTTTAATTATACAAATTGTTATATTTTAATTTGTATATTTAGAAAGTGATACTGAAAGTGATACTGATACTCCTGCCATAGCTGTTATAGATACTAATACAATTGCTGAAAATCGTGCCGGAGCTGCTATTAATACTGATGCAACAGCAGATAATATTGCCATTGTCACAGATTCTGATACTGTAAACATAATCGACACTGAAGCTAGAGTCGGTACATCAACTGAAGGTGATAACTTTCCTTTATTAGAATTTTAAGACATTGCCACTTTTTAGAATGAAAGTTTACTGTTTTACACATTTTTTACTACAGGGTGTCCCAAAAAAATGGGAATTCAGTGACGAATTCGATATCGTCTTAGTTATGGTTTAGCATTGTAATACCTAATTTCAAAAGCCAAGCTATTATTATGTCTGTTAGAGTTTATTTAATGAAAACGGTAAATGGCCGTAAAGATGTGTCTATAATGTCTCCGCAAGATGAACAGTGAAGACGGACAAGTTTACTCTGTTTGTATACTGCAATTTTCTTGTTTTACTAAGTACAACCGTATGCAGTCAAAACATAAACAAATAAAATGTGAACATAGCAGACGAAACTCTTACAGATTACAGCTTTCTCAGTTGGTATCACTAAACTAAATCAAAGAATTATTTGAAAAGACGATATCGAATTTGTCATTGAATTCCCATGTTTATTGGGACACCCTGTAGCTTTGGTACCGTATGTTATGTATCTTAAACTTACTGTGGACGTTATCTCATGTGACCAACCATTTGTAGACTGCAGTTTGTCCAATTTACAACAGTATCCTTTTAACCTTTTTACGTTTAGTTAAAAAATTTAATTTTCAAATGTGGTTTGAGCATTATGCATCAGAGAAAATGAAGGAAACTTTTAAATTTAACATTTAACACATTTTCTCCCATCTTTTTTTTATCTTCTTTTGGTGAATAAGTATTGATCAAATTTTAAAAGCATGTTTTTTTAGAAAATGACAGACCGTTCTCCACATTTCTGACTATTGAAGGAGCTAGAACTAGATCTAGAAATAGTATCAGGTCATTCCATCTAGGTTCCAATACTAGTTCTCTGGTAGATCTACCAAATGGTGAAGCTGTACCTGATGTTATAAGTGTAGATGAAAGTGTTGCACTGGAATCAATCAATGATCTGCCAATTCCAACCTTTTCCGGTGTTCCTAATACAAGGGAAATGGCACAATCTACTAGTGTCATTGTACACCATACAAGTGAAAATGCTCAATCTACAAGTGCCGGAATATTCAATACAAGTGCCAGTCTTCGTTCTACAAGTGAAAATGCTCAATCTACAAGTGCCAGAATCTCGGCTACAAGTGATTCTCTGTCAGCAAGTGACGATGCCACGTCTATGAGTGCAGGAGTTATCACTACAAGTGCTACAGAAGTGTCTCCGTATTTCTTAAACCCCAACCACCCTCTTCCAGGAAACAGGTAATTTGTTTGTATTTTATTCTAGTTGGTCCAATTATCAATCGTTTTCGTAAGACTTAAAAGGGAATGCAGAGTGCAGACGGGATTTCAAGTTCAGACTCTGTTTATTAAGTGGAATGTCTGATTTACAACGGTACCCTCAAAAGCTTTGTATTTGATATTATTGATCATCTCTTTGAATTTATATGTTTTCAATCTTGGCTTCTCTGCAAAGTGACCTGCTTTAGAAACAATGGAGGACAATGCCAGAATTAAAGACTTCAACTGAAAACACCACGGTTAAAAAGGGTACCGCTGTGAATTTGGTATGCCCTTCTCTAAATAAAGGTCAATTAAATGACAGCCACAATATTTTTTATTTTACGGAAAAAACAGGGTGTCCCACGAAACATGACAGCATCAAAACGAATTAAAAGTCGTCTTTGATATTTGAAATAATTTGCGACATTTATTCCTCATCTTATAGGTAGAATTTTAGAATTAATAATCAACAAATTACCCCTAGTCTAGGTATTTTCAAAATGTTGTCTGCCTTTTTTGTGCTTTCAATAATACCGGAGAAACGAAGAATTTCCAAATTCGACGTTCAAAACTCCTACTTTGGGGGTGGATACGTTTTCAGAATTAGTTTTTTTCAATTATGTCGTAAACATTAATATTTGAACTATAAATTCTGCCAGATCAAATAGTCATAGTTTGAAATATCAAAGCTTTAAATCATCAGGCTGCAAAGATATAATTGTTTAAAGTTAGAGTTTGAGTTAGGTGTTCAGTTCCTCTGCGTTACTGACAGCGAATAAAATTGAATAAAAAATCATTTTTAATATATGTAAATCATTTCATATTGTTTAAGAAATAATTTAAATTTCAGGAATTTAAACGGTAGTTCAGTAGATTTTCAGACTGATGATGAACAGCTGACGGCTGTAACAGACACAGCTGCTGCTACGAAGAAGGAGAAAAAGAAGGGGAAAGGGAAAAAGAGGAAAGCTACTAACAGCTGTGAGGAGGATGCCGATGAAGGTTATTTTTGAAGAATTTCGGAAAATGAATTATTTGTAGGGAAACATATGATTCTGAGTTTTGGAACGGGTGGGGGGATCTTGCTAAATGATGTCAGTTTTTTAAATTGTTTCTCTTAAATTGTTAAAAATCATTTGTCTTCAAATTATATCCTATGGTACATAAAATTGAATTGTTATTATTATTTTTATTATTATTGTTATTGTTATTATTATTTTTATTATTATTATTATTATTATTAGATGAATAGAATGTACACTGAACATTATGTTAAATATTAATACATACACAGTTTGTACATTGTTCATTGTACATACAGTTCAATATGTAATTTTTATTCTTTGTATTTTTTTTCTGGTTTTTAAGCAATCTAAATTGTAACAAAAATGCTATTCCCAAATATCAAATTTTACACATCAATAACTTTCCTGTTTTATTATTCATAAATATTTTGCTAATTTACATGAATTCTTAAATTTTTGGGTTCTGTCTAGCATGGCTTTTTTAAATGCAGATACAAACAGGAAAAGTTACTTTTAACATATTTAATTATTTATTTTTTAAATTTTAATTTTAACAAAATCCTATAAATAATTCTATGATAGCAGCTGCAAATATTTCTGTTCTCTAGATCCTCATTTTCTTCTTTTTGTTCTTGCATCATCCATCATGTTCGGCTAATGATGAAAAAGAAAGTATATTTTTCTTTATTTTAGGAAGTTGCTGCACAATATGCTTTGAACCTTGGAGTAATTCCGGAGACCATAGGTATATTTTAACTAGATAAGAAAATATCTAGATGTAAGGAGGTTTCTCAATGGTTTATTTATTTAAGTGACAACTTCCCAAGGGTATTTTCACAAGTGGAAACTTCCCAAATGTAAAAATATCCAAAGCGGCAACTTCCCAAGTTCCCAAGTCAGTCCTGGCCGTAGCACCCAGTCCTCTAGCCTGTTCTAGCCCCATCGTTCGGCCCCCTGGCCCAAATTAGCCACAGTGCTCGGACCACATTGCAGTCTGCCGCGGCTCGGAAGGCCTAAACTAACCTGTGGAAAGTTGCAGCTTAGGAAGCTGTACAATTGGGAAAATGCCACTTGGGAAATTGTCACTTCGTAAGTCGCCCATAGAAAAATGTCTTTGGGATAATACCTAAAACCATACATTTATATTAGAGAAGAAATATTTGAGGATAAGATTTTGAATCGTCAGAAATTCTAATTCTAGAAACTTTAATGTGAATATCTACGTTTTTCATTTTGAAAATTTTCTAACTTCTAAAATCATAAAATTTAGCTAAAAATACCTCGATAAAATGACTCAATTCATTAAAAATTTACTTGAAATCACATTGATGCTCGCTAATATCAATATCATTTATTTATTTCAGGATTGCGTCTCTAAGATGTGGACACTTCTTTGGGTTTATCTGTATAGAGAAATGGTTGAAGGGGACCGGGGCATCTTGTCCAAACTGTAATGAAAAATCTACCAAAAAGGATATCAGGTACTGCATGTCGAGGGGAGGAAGGCCAGCCACAACAACTTCTAGTCTGAGCCACATTTTTCTCATTTTCTCGTCCGAGCCACCTCGAAATCCTCGTCCTTCGAATATTGTATTTTTAAAGTGTTCAATTCTCCAAGATAAAACAATTTTCTACGAATCGGGTCACGCAAGAGCATAAACTAAATATTTAATTGTTGTAAATCGAAAAAAAATACTTTCAATAGAAATTTAAAGTTTTTGAGTTCAATGTCCTAAAAAATATTTACCTTTTTTTACGCGCATTTTTAGATGATCTAGGTACGTGTAGAATGCCGCAAAAAATTCCAAGTTTTTTTGTTAATTATATCGAAAACCATAGAATTTTTTCGGGTGGTTCTATGGGGAAAATTCTAGGCAAATATTTTGCTATTTATTTTGTATTACGAAGGTTAGCCATTACGGAGGCAGGTGAGATTTAAGTTTCATCTAAATAAAGTTTGACATCATTCTCACGGCTTTGAAGATTTCAACATGATGTTATCATTGCAATACTTTAGTCTATCCATATTTTATGCCCTAAAGTGGCCTGATTTTTAAAAGATAGCTTTTTCTTCAAGAAGTAGAAATTTTTATAACGCATAATAAGTGAAGGACGAGGATTTCGAGGTGGCTCGGACGAGAAAATGAGGATAATGTGGCTCGGACGAGAAATTGTTGTTTGTGACTGGCCTTCCTCCACTCGCATGATCGACTCACAACAATTGAAAAATCAAGAATGAATTAGTTACTTAGTTTGTTTAGCTTAAAATTGATTTTCCTTAACTTTGTATTCTGATATAAAGTCAATTGGAAATTTTATGCTAAAAAGGCATTCAACACTTCTGATAAAAGAATAACGATAGCTTGCCCTTTTTGCTCAGATATTAAAGATGAAGACGATTTTTTTAAGCTTTTATTCCTATTGTCCAATTTAATTTAATTTAATTTAATATAACTGGTGGTGGATAGTTAGTATTTCTGGACAATGACTTAACAACTTTCAGAAATTTAAATTAAAGATTTATTTTTAGCATTGAAAAATTAAATAGGCTTTAAGGGTTGTGAAAGTTTCTACACAAAACGGACATTTTTAAGCATATTTTGAAAATGCGCGTTTTGACATCCTTTATGTTAGATTACAAATTTTTTTACTCTTTTTAATCTTTTTTTTCTTTTCTTTGCAAAATCGTCTTTGCTTTCTTCGATTCTTTAGCAAACAAAGCTTGTGTTAAAATTAAAACAAATGGGTTCAGCTGATATAAATCTTTAATTATATATATATTACATTCAGGGTGCACTATGTATCTAAGTTAAAAGCTCTTGATACAAGTGAGAAGGATCGAGCTCTGGCAGACCTTGACAAGGAGAAAACTAACAGCAGGGAGATTCAACTCAGGTACACTATCATGGGTGGGGGGGATATTTTGGGGGAAGATTATTTCCCCAACTGTCGGCTATAATTCAAAGTGAAAGTTACGTATTAAAAAGTACATAAATTTTAAAAGAACAACCTCTCAATTCTTGTTATAGCTTTAGACTGTAAAATAAAAAATAATCATAAGGCTTATTTTTCCCTCAATTTTAATTTTGTTTTGTTTGATTGATTTTTTAGTTGATTGACTATGTGATTGATTGATAAATTGCGTAAGTGATTGAGTGATTGATGGATTAATTGCGTAGGTGATTGAGTGATTGGTTGACTGATTGATTAAATGATTTGTCTGTTTGTTGATTGATTGATTTATTGATAATTTAGGTTGACTGAGTACCAAGTTCGGAACCGTCTGCTTCAAGAAGAAATAGAGAAACTTCAACGCGAACTTCACCAGTATAGGTGAGGGGTAATATATTGCATTTAAGTATTACTGCCCCCCTCCCCTTCATTGGAAACTTTTGTATTCTTTGATGTCATCTTATCTATAAAATTTTGTTAAAATTAAAAAAAATTATGTTAAAAATACTCTGTAATATTCTAGAAAGTTCCGAGGTGATCTACCTCCAGCTTTACAGAACTCTCAACCATCTTCTATACCTTCAACCCCTACCAGGTGAACTGAAGGCTTTAGCCTAAAAGAGTTACGCGCGCTTGCCGTGTTGAATTACAAGGAAGAGAGAAATTAGTTTATATTTTAGGGTTAGGTTAGGTTAAGACACTTTACAGGCCGAGTGCTGTGGCTAAGACAGGCTAGGTGGCCGAGCGCCGCGGCCAGGACAGTTTAGTGGGCCGAGCGCCGCGGCTAGGAAAGGCTCTTTCTCTGTCATGTAATTTTACGCGGCATGCGCGCAACTCCTTTGGGCTTCTACCCAAAACTGAATACAGTGGAGACCTATTGAAACCTGGAAAAGGAAGACGACGTTTGATCAGTGTAGTTGATGATGTTAAAGAGCAAGTAGTTTTATCAGTAGCTTGAAGATTAACTTAATTAGAGAAATGGATAATAAATAATTCTTGTGTTTAATGTACATTGAAATGTAGTTTAAATCGAAACAAACTGTCTTCCTATACCTATGGGTCCCACTTAATATCTAACAATTATTCGTATTAACGAGTGTCCCCCATCAGATGGGATTATTCTCAAGCAAAACTTTGTGCAGAATATTCAGTGAACCCTGTATTACTTGCATTCAAATATTTATGGTTGTAATTGGGTTCTTTCAATCATGCTTCCCAAAAATTAAAGGTCTGTCCGATCCAACGTTATTTGTTACACCCTGTTTATCAATTGTTATCTGGATTTTTGACCTTTCATTTCTTTGGCTTGCTTTGTTCTTTCTTTATATTTATATTTTAGGTTGGTTTACCAGAAAAGATATGAAATGGTTAGACCTGGAACAGAGAAAACCTGCAGGTATTGTCAAACTCTGGTGTAATTTTAAGTAAACCTCCATTATTAGAGGGGTATGCCGGATTTTATACTGGTACTCGCCGTTAAACCTTTATCTGATCATAATTGTGGATCATCAAGACTGAAGATGATGTGCGAACTAGATTTACCCCACTTTTTGAAACTTCGTCACTATTTTCTCAAAAACTTAAATTCATAATTTTATATTAATACATTTTGAGGACAAATATAAAAGTTTTTTTTTCCTAAAGAATTATCATCCCTGTTTTTTTTTCTAGAGTTCTAGCATATTCTGAATACCTTGGTATGCTGGTCATTTCACAGCCAAGCTTTACAGCTCTAGCGCCAGGTATTCTACAAAGTCATTGTGCGTCCGTATTATCTGTCCTGAATGTGCGACCTGTATGTGTGTCCCGAATGTGCTTCCTTGTGGGTTCTCAACTCAATGTGCGTTAAAATTATGTGTATTGTGTGTCAGCAATGGGAGTTCACCTTGTGCGTCTTCAATGTGCCTTCTCTTTGTTTGTTCTCCATGTGCGTCTTCAATGTGTGTTCTCTATGTGTGTCATTAACATGTGTACACTAAGTGCGTCTTCAATGTGTGTTCAATATGTGCGTCTTCAATGTGTGTTCAATATGTGCGCCTTCAATGTGTGTTTACCACATGTATCTTTGATGTGAGTTCACTTTGTGTGTCTTCAATGTGAGTTCACTATGTGCGTCTTTAATGTGAGTTCACTTTGTGCGTCTTCAATGTGTTTACACTTTGTGCGTCTTCAATGTACACTTTGTGCATCTTCAATGTGTGTTCAGTGTTCACCATGTGTATCTTTAATGTGAGTTTACTTTGTGTGTCTTCTATGTGAATTCATGATGTCCGTCTTTTATGTGAGTTCACTATTTGCGTTTTTAATGTGAGTTCACTTTGTGTGTATTAAATGTGAGTTCACTATGTGCGTCTTCAATGTGTATTTAATATGTTAGCTTCAATATGTGTTCACCACATTTATCTTTAATGTGAGTCCACTTTGTGCGTCTTCATTGTGCGTTCTCTTTGTGCGCCTTTAATGTGAGTTCACTATGTGCATCTTTAATGTGAGTTCACTATGTGCGTCTTTAATGTGAGTTCACTTTGTGCGTCTTCAATGTGTGTTCTCTTTGTGTGTCTTTAATTTGAGTTTACTATGTGCATCTTTAATGTGAGTTCACTATGTGCATCTTTAATGTGAGTTCACTATGTGCGTCTTTAATGTGAGTTCACTTTGTGCGTCTTCAATGTGTGTTCTCTTTGTGTGTCTTTAATTTGAGTTTACTATGTGCATCTTTAATGTGAGTTCACTATGTGCGTCTTCAATGTGAGTTCACTATGTGTGTCTTCAATGTGAGTTTACTATGTGCATATTAAATGTGTGTTCAATATGTGCATCCTCCATATGTGTTCACCATGTGTGTCTTCAATGTGAGTTAACTATGTGCGTATTAAATGTGTGTTTACTGTGTTCATCCTCAATTTGTGTTCACTATGTACGTCCACAATGTGAGTTCGCTATGTGCTTCTTTAATGTGAGTTCACCACATGTATCTTTTAACGTGAGTTTACCATTTGCATTGTGCGTCCTGAATGTACATCCTTACTTGTGCTTTCATCATAATTGCGCCCTCCCTTGATACTAGATGGGGAACCCTTCTTTGCCTGGATTATTTTTCCTTTACAGGTCAACCTACTCAACCGAAAAGTGTTAACCTATGCTAAGAAAATTTCCTTAATTCTACCAAGTACACTAATTTATTTGGAGGCAAATCGGTTTAGAAGTTCCTGAGTTCTGATTGGACATCAAAACAAACAAACATGCAGACACCAAGACAGACAAACTAAATCTGAACTTTAAAAAATAGACAACACTGTCAACCCCCCCCCCCCCTTCTTTCTTAAAGCCATTGTTAGATATGATCTCTCTGTAATCTCCTTAGAATAACGGTCGACTGGTTTTATTATTATTAGAAAAGCATTTATGTTCTTAAAATAGAACTCCAGGAAGTGATATTACTCTATCCAATTATGATTGTTTTTATGAAAGATTATACAATGTACATACAGTCTTTCTGCTCCCTCCCTCCTTCTTTATACACCCTTCCCTACTCAGTACTTACCTTTCTTCTATTTTTAACTTTATTAATTTATTTTAATTAAATACAATATTTTTGAATTTCTATATAATATCCGATGGAAACATTTTTAGACTTATATATTTCTTGTTTTTCATTCTTTCTTTCTTCATGATTGTCCATTCCTTGTCCATCCTTCAATCATACTTTGACTAATTTTGAAAATAAAAATAAATAACCATAAAGTAAGTTAATTTTTCTTCCATGTTTCTTAGCGCGCGTTAACGTCACTAAATAGAACCAAAATTTCTATCTTGAAGAGTAAAACTTACCAATACAGGAAAAAAATCTATTTGAAAAAATGTATATTTCAAGTCAAATTTTTAAAATTTCTTTCCTTTATTGCTTTTCTTGGGAACTTTCGGGGAGGAGAATTCATGTATAAACTTTTATTCAAACTTTTTTGATTTTACCGGACACTTGTGAGAAAGAAAATTCAAGCTGAATTACCTTCCCTATTCTGACTTTCCAGTAAGCATACAGGGAGAACCAGAAAACTCTGGAATAGCAAGACGACTTATAGACTCAAGTTATGACTTTAAATTGTCCAATTTACATGAACTAAATGAATTACAATGAAACTATGAAAACTATCTCATGGTTTTCTTGAATACCACTTTTTCTTCTTCCTCTCCCTGAAACACTTTTTCACTTCATCTTTTTTATTTCTCTGCTCTATTTGGTCAAATTTTGATATCTTTTGCCCCTGTACATAATTTAGATGAGCTTAACAAGATTTATCTGATGAGATACTTCAAACTCAAAAATCACCGTTATTTGTAATTTATTTGAAGTTGGAGGCATCTGGACATTTAGAGCATTGACAGGGGCGTACGAGGGCATTTGTTTAGGGGGGCACAATTTGCGTGCCCCCCCCCCCTCAGCCTCTCAGGCGGGGCACGCGTAGCATCGAGCATCGAGCTGTATATTTTCTTTGCCTGTTTGTTTGTAACCGATAAACGTCAAAACGGCAGAACCGATCGGGCCCAATTTTTTTGTAGGATCTCACATGATCCAAAAGTGGTAACAAGAAATCAGTGGAAAGATTGTAGTCTTTATTGTTTCTGTTTCTTATAAAATGCTCCAAAGGACGATGAAACCTGTAACGTATAAATTTCTAAAATGCGCTCCGGACTTTTCATTAAATATCAACATTTCTGTGTGATCATTCCGCAGTTTTCTGGTAATTTTTTACATTGGTTATAATTGATCAGGGTTTGGTGTACGGCAGTTCAACGTGCTGGACCAAAAGGTCGGGAACTTCATCTCCCTCTGCAAGGAACAGGTCAGATTTCGTCTTCTTTCGGATTTTTTTTAACTTGTTAGAAACAGGTCTTGGACCAATATCTATTTTCATCCAAAAAATGGTTCCGAGAACAAGGATCTTTTAATATTAAACTGACTCTCCATTTAAGGCAGTGCTTAGGATCCGGATCCGGATACGTTGGATCTGCAAGATTTTGGCTTCCTGGATCCGGATCCGCAAAAAAATAATGGCATCTTAATTTATACAATACTATATCTAGAATTATCCTGTATTATCTAGATAAGAGATCTATTCAGTTATATTTCTAGTATGATCCTGTATTATCTAGATAAGAGATATATTCAGTTCTACATCTGTTATTATCCTGTATTATCTAGATAAGAGATATATCCTTCAGTTCTACAACTAGTATTATCCTGTATTATCTAGATAAGAGATATTTCCTTAGTTCTATATTTTGTATTATCCTGTATTATCTAGATAAGAGATATTCAGTTCTATATCTAGTATTATCCTGTATTATCTAGATAAGAGATATGTCCTTCAGTTCTATATCTAGTATTATCCTTTATTATCTAGATAAGAGATATATCCTTCAGTTCTATATATAGTATTATCCTGTATTATCTAGATAAGAGATATATTCAGTTCTATATCTAGTAGTATCCTGTATTATCTAGATAAGAGATATGTCCTTCAGTTCTATATCTCAGCATCTGCTACTGTCCTGTGGTCAGGATAGAACGGCAAGAATCACTAATATGTCTAATGGCCATAAGGTGACTTTTTAAAACTTTTTGTTAACAGAAATTAGATGAGTCAAGTATTTCTTCTTTTGTTCTATACTTTTCTATAGCTATATCAATCAGTTTTGTTAGTAGATTGATCAGTTCTGTTGGTATATTATTCATGCAGCCTGTTGGTAGATTGATTAGTTTTGTTGGTATATTTATCAGTTTTGTTGGTAGATTGATAATTTTTGTCGGTAGATTTAGTTTTGTTGGCAGCTTATGATTTTTGTTAATCGATTGATCAGTTTTGTTGGTAGATTTATCAGCTTTGTTAGAAGATTTATCAGCTATATATGTAGATTGGTCAGTTTTAAATTGAGTTTTAAACTAGTTACAGTTACTGTTATGTTTGTTTATTGACTGACTGATTAATTTATTATTGATTGATTGATTGATCTAGGTGACTGAGTTTCAATGTGATCACCAGGTGTGGGCCTGTGATTGGTCTGCAGCAAACGATCATCACGTTTACCTTGGAACTCAGAAAGGTTGGTTCAGCTAGAAGTTTAACCAGTTCAGGTCAAACTTTATGAATGCGGTCAATATTTACCGGGATCAACTTAGAATGGGTTTACAATCTGAATTTTAAGAATAAAGTTCAAATTAAATCAGAATTTTAGGGACATCCTACTTACCTCAGATACCTCAAGAAAAAATTTCATCCTAATCGGTCCAGCAGTTTGGCCTGCTTTAGACAACATATACAATACATACACGAATGTTTTGTTTTATTATATAGACTAGCTGAACAGCCTGGCGTTGCCCGTGGAAAAAAAAATTTGAAAAGAATATTTTTTAAATTTGAAAGAAAAAATATTTTCGAATTTTTTAGCCTTTAACCCCCCCCGGCCACAAAAAAATTCAGCCCAGTCGGTTCAGCCGTTTGGCTGGCTATACGCACCATATATAATATATATATATACAAATGTCTTGTTTTATTATATAGATTAAGAAATATTTGTGGACTTACAACTTGTTATAGACGTATTTAACTCGAAATTTTTATTTTAAAAATGCACACTTAGATTTCTTGACGGGTGGGTAGTCTTGTATATCATTAAACATGTCATTTAGCTGATTTGTTTTAATGGTGTTTTTAGGAAGTATCCTGGTGTACGATATGAGACAGCCTACTGCCCCTCCTGTAGTTCTCGTATTCCCGGATGGAGACAAGAAACCAATTATAGGTTAGAACTGGTAAACTACATACTCTTCAAACCTTTGTTCAAGTACAGTGATCTCTGGGGTTGGATTTTTCGAAAACCGCTTGAATTCCCTTAAAACCCGGCGTACTCTGCGTAAGCTTAACACAGCTGATCCGGTACTTGTGATTCAGGAATTCACTGAATATTATGCTTTAAGCGGTTTTAAAAAATTCGAAAGAAAAAATATTATTTTCTGCCACAGCTAGACTGGGAATATTAATATTGTTTAGATATAAAACAGCTTGTAAATACATTTTACAAGATTGATGTCCGACAACCTATATCAGTCAAAGGTTTAAAGTTAAACATAAAAATATTTTCTTTCTATCAACATCAAATACAGAGAAGATTACTTAATTGTCGTCTGCCTGATTTATAGGTCCTACTGTATCGGTCAAACCAATATTTGAAAAATTTGTTCAAATTCAAGATATACAGCTCATATTATAGATAATAAACACCTTTTCAATGGCTAGAAATAATAATTAAATTAATAATTATTCACCTATTGGTTTTTCATCTTACATAACAAAATAATATAAATAAAATCACTAAATCATTATCACTGAATTATTTAAATTCCAATTTAAGTTTATACATGTCATTAAAAAACCAGTTGAAGTTAAAGCTAAAAACAGAATTGAAAATTATATAATAATGATAAAATCAAAATAATTCAAACTTCTGTTTGTAATTCGTTTGAGGAGAAAGATTTTTTCAATATTTAAACATTTCAAGTTTGAATGCATTAAGCTTTTTTCGGATTTATTTGATCTTTAAGAGACATTTTTAAGAGTCTAAAGTGATATCCATAAAACGGTGTTTTAACTTATATATTTATATTTTAATGTTCTGAAATGAAATTGTTGAAAATTACGAAATAAAATAGTAATAAAAACGATAAAGTTCGACTATCGTTTCTATGTTTTTTGGTTTCCACTGTCTCTCAGGGTAAGCCTCTTAAAATAGATATTTTCTAGGTTTAAGATCAGTACCTAATTCAGTTAATATAGCAGGGTTTTCTTATTACACATGTTCAAGGTTTAATATCATCAGTACCTGATTCAGCTACTGCAGGGTTTCCTAATTATACATTTTCTAGGTTTAAGATCAGTACCTAATTCATTAATAGCAGTGTTTCCTAATTATATATTTTCTAGGTTTAAGATCAGTACCTGAAGCAGCTAGGGCAGGGTTTCCTAATTACACATTTTCTAGGTTTAAGATCAGTACCTGAAGCAGCTAGGGCAGGGTTTTCTAATTACACATTTTCTAGGTTTAAGATCAGTACCTGAAGCAGCCAGGGCAGGGTTTCCTAATTCAGGTTTTCTAGTAGCTAACCTATCCAGTCTTTGGTTTGTTTCAAAGGTTAGTTATATTTTCACAATAGGGTTTCCAATCGCAATTCCGTTGCGCGCAATTGCGGTGAACTGTTCTCGAATTGCGCGCAATTGTGCGGAATTACGCGGAATTGCTAGGAATTTACAGGGTTCGCAATTGAGTGCTAGTAAAATCCACTTACGGTGGAAACCCTAATACAAAAGCACACGCAAATGTTGAGGTTTTAAAGGGACAGCATAGTGTAGACTGTATAGTGTACAAGTCATTCTAAGGTAAAAGAACAAAGGCAAAAGATACCAAAAAATATATTTTTTAAAAAATTATTTAAGGTAAATTTATCTTTAAAATAGTAACCATGTAAAAAATCTACAAAAAAATGCTCAAGATTCATAGGGAAAAAAGCCCTACAGTTTCATAAATCGTTACGATAGGTTTTTTAGAGACATCACAACATAAACAAACAAAGTTACTAAGCTTATGTTTTTTTATTGTTATTGTCCTTAAATCATTAAATATGACCTAAATGGAAGGTCACATATTGAAGCTCTGGAAAGAGTTTGAACATTTTGCAATGAATAACAAGATATATCCAGATTAACAATATTTTTATTATTATATCCAGATTAACAATATTTTTATTATTTTAAGATACAAGAAAACATTTTCTAGGTTTAAGATCAGTACCTGAAACAGCTAGGGCAGGGTTTCCTAATTCTGGTTTTCTAGTAGCTAACCTATCCAGTCTTTGGTTTGTTTCAAAGGTTAGTTATGTATATACACACTACACAGGCACACGCAAATATTGGGATTCTAAAGGGACAGTACAGTGTATAGTGTACAAGTCATTTTAAGATAAAAGAACAAAGGCAAAAAATACATTTTTAAAAATTATTTAAGGTAAATTTATCTTTAAATAGTAACCATGTAAAAATCTACAAAATATAATGCTCAAGATTCATAGGGAAAACAGCCTTTCAGTTTCATAAATCGTTACGATAGGGTCATTGGAGACATCACAGCATAAACAAACAAACTACCAAGTTACTAAGCTTATGTTTTTTATTGTTNGTCTTAGTAAAATGATCTCTCACCATATCTTAAATGATGCAACATGACTGGTTAGGCGGGTTCAAACTGCATACTAAATTGTGATTGCTTATTTGTTATTCCTCAAATATGATAAAATATTTTCTTTAATAAGTTCATATTAACATGATTAAATTTATATTTGTATAATTCCTCTAAAAGCATATTACTTCCAAATTTGTCTTAGGATTCCGATGAAACATGGTCCTTCCACAAGCTGAACATGGAACAGGTCCAGACAAAAATAAAATATTGTAGTGACGCAAAATAACGAGAATTTAAACGGACTGAAGAATATATTTTTTCTAATTTACAACATGGCTTAAAATATTTGCTATGTTTTGCTTGAACCGGAAACGGAAGACGACTTTCTGGCTCCTCCACAATATCTTGAATGATCCGTTCGCAAAGTATTAAGTGTCTTTTTATATGTTAAGGGTACAATGGTAAACTTTAACATATATGATGTAGATCTGATTTTTCTGTGAATTTTTATAATCTTTGCCTGTGAAGTTTGTCAGAAGAGAATTCATTAATTCACGGTTCAAGATGGCTGGATATCGTATTATTTCTTGTGAAAAATCTTCGACGTCTCTGTTGGAAGTAAAAAAAAAATTACAAATGTCATCTATGATGAACAAGAAACGTTTTGAATGTTGAATTTAAAGAGTAACCTACATTAGTTTGGGAATTTTTAGCTAATGGATTGGACGTAAAAATAATGTTCAAATACCCAAACATGTGAACAATGAATTTTATAAATATTGCGGAATTACTTATTTTAATAGAATGCATTGCAATTAAAATGATTAATTAAAAAATTACCGTTTTCTCTGTTAAGAAACTAATTTGGAGTTTGGACTTTGACCGGGAATCTTTCTTGGTTCTGGTTGGATGCAAACCCTGCCCTCTTGCGGCGCATTTAGGAACTAACACATATCATACTTTTTGCTGNGGCATTTTTTTACATTGGTGGATACCTTAACTCACAAATTCATTTATTTTTCCTAAAAAAAAAAACTCAACTGTAAAGTTTTTAAAAATAATATTTTTTTTCTATTCTAGCAGGGGAATATGAAAAATAAATGCACCTCAATAAACGATTATTTTTAATCAATATTTATTAGTTTTGGTTTGATTTTTTTTAAAAATTAGGTTAATTCCGATTTAGGTTTTTTTTTATTTAACAGCAGCTTATTAGGGGCTGAGGCAATTTTGTGGATATCATTATCTTTTTTAGCCATTTGATTTGGTCGTCTGTTTCCATTATTAATTTGCTGAATATAAAATTCCATGAAATGATGGCTGACTACTAACAGTTTATTATTATTATTATTACTAATACACTTATGATCATCATTTTTATCATAATTTTTACCCCCTAAAAGGAAATTGTGGGTGTCACACTTTGGGGGTAAGAATGATGAATATTGAATACTAAACATGCTTGATATGTGAACTGTACAATGTACAGTACTTGAGCTGTCGAGTACACAGATAGAGTCCGGCAGAACTTATATAGTCAGGTAAACCGGTTCTAGGAATATAATACAGGGCACATACGTTTCAAAGTTTCATGATCCAAACTAGTACAGGGATTGCCTGGTGTACATAGTGTACCTGCCCGTCTAGTGTACCCAGTATGTGGTTGATCCAGAACGTGTCATGCAACAGAATTAGGCGGTCAGAACTATAGTGAAAGGCGCAAGCAGCCGATCTTGACTGTATACAATTGTATAAAAACGGGAATTGTCTGAGGATTGGGTTTCTGTGGTAGAGGTTGCAGACTCGTCATAATAAATAGTTAAATAGGGTTCACCCCTCAGAAATTTGCTCCCCCTGAGTTAGCTCACCCCTAGTAAATTCCTCTATCTGCCCCTGGGAATGTAGTACATAAATGTCGTCTTCATGTTAATTTCTCCGACAATTTTTTTCATCATTTAAGGGACTGTGACGTCAGTTTCAAGCCAAACCTTTTTCTTCATTGTACAATACATTATACATTATATATTGGTAACTATTGTAACTGTTGTAAGGCGTTGTCTTCGTTCTTTTCTGCTTTCCTTTCCATATGAAGTCAAAAAAGTTGTTCTAAACATCTTTAGACATACATTATTATTAATATTATTATTAACAATCAACCTACAGACAACGTAGCATGACCCGTACAATTACAAGTTACAACTTACAACATATTTCGTCATGTTTCTTTAATAAAAGATAGAAGGAAGACGACAATCCTGTTTTGCGGTTGTTAGTGCATTTTTATTTCAATTTTGTAGTTTGTTTATTTGTTTCTTTGACGTAGCTGGAAGCTAAACAATTACAAAATAAAGTGTCTTAAATACACCAAAAACTGATTAAAATTGAGGGCCGGCTTAAATTTTGAAACGTTGAACAATTTTAAGTGGAACCAACCATATTTGAGCCACGTCTCAAATTTAAGCTGCGGCTCAAATTCTTTAAATTTTGTCTCAAGCTCAAAAAACCAGGACATGGAATGGACTTGATCATCCAGTCCCCTACTGGACTCTAATGCCATCCCTATCCCATTTCATTTGATTTGATTTGATGCAGACCCGAATAAATGTAGACTAGTCTGTGGAATCTGGCTATGGTTTAGAATAAATTTGTTCATCTCTTAAAAAAAAAAATGTGATCCTCTCTTTTTCCTAATCTCAAGACTAATTTAGTCTAGATTAATTTCAGAGATCAGAGATGCGCTCTTTAACTTTTGAAAACCCGGTTTTCAATTTTCCTGTATTTGTGGTGTCATATCAATCGGACTAATGATCGATTGAACTCATAAGTTTTGGATGAATGTTTATTAAGACTAACGTTCAAAAGGACCTTAGTCCTCAAATATGATAAAATATTTTCTTTAATAAGTTCATATTAACATGATTAAATTTATATTTGTATAATTCCTCTAAAAGCATATCACTTTCAAATGGTACGACAGGACAATTAGAAATCAGGTGATTGGTCGGAAGGGTTCATGCCATACAGTCATTGGTGAGAAGGGCTTATTGCATTATGGCATACCGTCATTAGTTTGACTCACCCCCCCCCCCTAAAGTTACGTTAGTTCATTGGATACTTAAATGAAAGGGAGCTTAAGCTTAAGCCGGATCTTAAAGGAAAGGTGGTTAATTGCGGTTATTATTAATATTTCTAATTTTTAGAACTCTGATGGTTGCAAAAGGAGGGAGTTTCAGTCAAAGGAGTTTTCTAAGATCATCACTGCTTCCCTCTCCAACAGGACAGGTATTGTACAACTATTTTTTTATCCTGTTAATTAGCTTCCTCTTTTGTTTCTTCCTTTATAATGCCCTGTTGATAGTTCACATAAGTTAAAAGTTGTATGATCCGAACCAATACAAGGATACCAGTACCGGCCCGTCTAGTGCACCTAGTATGAGGTTGACCCAACGCGTTTTATGGCAGGCTGAACTGTAGTAAAATGCTTTTTCTTTTTAACAGATTAGGTATTTTTTATTTTCATATGCATTTGTTTACAAGTAACAATTTTTAAGCCACTAGGAATTGGTAGTTGATACATGTTTCTAATGCAGATAATAATCATTATTTTCAATATTCTTCTTTCTGTCTACCCTTGTTCACTTTATTTAACTGTGTGGTCTGTGTTATCTGCATACACCTCCCCCCCACAGAAAGGGTAATATGCAATTCTGAACATAGTTGATAAAGCAATTTGTATATCTTTATTTTTGCGGTGTACAGCTGTACAGTGTACACCTTAGTTTAAGTTATACGCTCCTCCACAAGATTATGCAAACTTATCATGAATATTATGCAAACTTATCATGAATATTATGCAAACTTATCATGAATCTGACTTTGTTAATTTTTCTACAGGATTATACTCCGGATATAGATTAGTAGGATTCTGAATCTGCTGCATTATTCATATATCCTGCAGTAATCTAAAAAAAAAGGTTCAAAAAGATCTCCATAGCCTAATACTGCATTCAGCGAGGTTCAAGTACTCCCTAGGACAAGTACTACCATGCCAAATTGCTGATCCCTCTCAGAAAGTTTTGATTAAGATTCCATAGTACAGGGGTTTCTGAGTTCCACTATATCTGCTCGTGAAGTAGGATAAGGTTGGAGGTTTAGGAAGTTTTTGAGGGGTATTGACTCTTTTTAATCATTCTTCCTCTATTTGATTATTACTCTCCTGTTGATGTATGGTCTGACTAAGCATTCCAGCATGTCAGGATACAGCTTTCTCAGCGCCTAGGCTTAAATAACAAGGAAAGCTCGGTAGAAAGGTCTTACACAGACCATGATCTAGGATCAACTAATTCTTCTCCTTTTTCTAGTTTTCATTAAAGTTATATGCTCACTCCTGGTGTGACCTTAAATAACGCCAGTGATAATACTTCAGGAAAACAAACGTATTGGTATTATTAGAATTAAACAGATTAAACCTAGAATAACGACAATATCTTCCACATTATTGATCAGATAACGGTGTCAAGAGTACTGTTGTGAATCGGGCATTGTCGTCTTTACTTGGAAGATTACTTAAAATTTCGCTTACAGTCCCTTTAATAATACTGACACTTTTCACACAATATTAGATAATGAAAGCAAAGATAATTTCATATTGTACGCTAACATAGTTTTAAATAAGTTTCTTAATGCAGAATTAAATACTAGAACAAATGTATAAACAAATATTGCGTCTTAAATGTCGTCTTTCTTAGAAAGACTAATAAAGATATTTTAATTTATATCCCTTGCGCATTTAAAAATCATGTAAGAAACGTAAATTGTTACGGAATCCATTATAATATTTTGAAATTTGATCATGCAGACCCAGGCGTTATTTTACGTGACACCAGAGCCCAAGATTTAAAAGTTTCGTCGGGTCATAATTCCTTAAACCCAGCTTTAAGACCCAATCCTAGACTCAACTCTGCTTGTGTCATATGATTGACAGCTGCGAGATCTTAGGCTCGAATTATGAGTTAGGCCCAATTAAAATATTAACGTTCTCATAATAACCCGGAATGTGCCAATTCCTATCATGAAAATCCGCCAAATAGAATATTAAACCGGATTTTGAACTTAGCTCTGTGTAAAATAAGATGCAGCTTGAATCCGAAAGCTCAAGCCGTAGATAAGGCCCAACGACAGCTTAGACCAAAGTCATATTTTCTTGATTTTTTCTTTAATTCGCCGGCTCTATCCTTTTAAATCTTCATGAAAACTTTATAATTATCGTTTTAAATCAACAGTAAAAATTAGAATAATTTGATTTACTCTAGTTTCATTGATTCTCTTCTCAATGTTTTCTGTGATATTGTTAATATTACGGATTATTTCTATTTGTTTTTTTTGTGTATATTTTCAGTTACTAATGCCAAGGTAGACACTAGTTGTATCAAAACAATAACAAAGGTTCTTTGTCAGAGTGAATGCGGGGCATATTTACTAACTGTTGCTTATACTTAAACCAGTTCCTGAGTATAGTCCAAATACGTCTTAGTAAAATGATCTCTCACCATATCTTAAATGATGCAACATGACTGGTTAGGCGGGTTCAAACTGCATACTAAATTGTGATTGCTTATTTGTTATATCTCATGCTTTGTAGTCGATTAAAAATATGAATGAATGGACTATCGAAACCGGCCCGAATCTGATGTTTCGTCCTGCGTTGTTTGACTTTCACATTTGTAGCTTAGAATATTAAGATTTCAAAGCTGAAAAGTTCTTGTGTATACTGTAAACTCCTAGTTTAGGTGTAGTAATTGGCAAAATCGTTTCAAATTTTCGTTATTTTAGCTGATAATGGTGTATCTAGGTGTATACTGCCTTCAGTAAAGGATCTGGGCAAACCGATCACAGGGTCGTTATTCAAGAGGTCGGCTCTGACAGAGTACTACAGGAACTTAAGGTAAAAACCGACCAGATACTGGCCAAATTCCGACCATGTACGGAGAGAGTTCTTTATGAACTAAAGGTATATAAATACCGACCATATATCTATACAACAGGGTCGTTTTAATAAGAGGTGGCTTTGATAGAGTTCTACATAAACTAAATGTAAATACCGACCATATAGTCGTAATACATCAGTGGTAGGCGATTCTTTACAAGCTTTTTTCGAACGACAAGTAATCAAAGTAAAGCTTTTTAATCGACCTCTTTGTTTCCATGTTTATATGTATCCATGCTTTTAACAGAACTAAATAATCAAGATTAAACATCGAAAGTCGTCTTCTTTGTATTGATGTATGCGACGACGACTGTAAACTTGAATCTAATATTTATAATTTTAGCAGTTTGCAACATACAGTCTAAGTAACATGATAATATTTAATATAAATTGTTTCCAGGNAAATTATGTTTGATGTTTTTTTATCCCCCCCACACTTCAGATTAAACAAAACTAAGCAGAATAGGAAGACGACATCAATAATGGTATTTGATGTTGTTATAGGGTTAATTTGTTATGTCTCATATTTATTGGACTGTTTGAAGGAACTGTCAGGTTAATATTAAGTGACCCACCATGCAAAATGGCAACAGTCAATCACAATGGTACACTTGAAACCTTAATCCGTTATAAAATGATGAAGATATCGTCGTTTTTTTACTCCAAAAGTACTTAATTCTGATAATTTTCCCGTTGCTTCTTGTAAGCAATAAATGGACAATTTCCTCTCGCAAAGAAATCGCAAAAGAAAATAAACAGTTTTAAGAAACTTGAAATTTGAATGATCAGACAAAGCTGAGTGTTCAGGGTACTGTTGTAAATCGGATATTGCCATCTTCTCATTGTTTTTTGATTCTCATTGTATTTTTCTTTGTAGAAGTAAGTTATTATGAACTCTTTAAATAATTTCCCCCAATATTACGAAAATAATTGAGATAAATAAAGAGAGATATACATCCCTGTTTAGATTTCTTCATTCCATCGGTTCTAATGGGGGCCCATATTGTGCATGTTATCATGTTTTGTACCTTTCAATAAAACGAAAACGCTTAATCATCCTAATACAGAGAGTATTGCAAACAGTGTACCTTTTATGAAAAAATTCCTGTTCCCATTTTTGTAATGTAAAAAAATATTTTTTAATTTTTATTACATTTTTTATAAAAGTTAATTTTTAAGATTTTTGACATGTTAAAGTTTTTTTTTGATAAAATTACTCCAACACTGTTTCAGAATTAAGAATGACTAACTGATGAATGAATGCGTAAAACTACCAGTTTCTTGAGTCCCCTCTACCAATCTACAGGTCAGAACCTAATACAAGAAATAAACGGCGGGTGGGGGGTCATACCTTACATAGCTCTCCCCTATCTTCATAATTTATCATTTCCCTTCTCGCAAAACAGAAAAAAAAATTTGCAAGATATTACGTAATCGTTATAAATAATTTTACTTCTTTCACGCCCCTTTCCTTTTGACAACTTTAGCTTTAAACTTAAATGTTGCCCTAAAAGTCGCTTTTTTTAATCATTCTCAATTTTTCGCGGAGTTTTTGTTAAAATTGGCGCATTTTTAAAATTATGAAATGAGGAAACATTTTAAAATTTGGAACATAGCATTTCTGCCTAAATAAATTGTTTCCTCTAATAGATTCCTGTCACCATCCCTGCCCCATGTTTTTAAAAGATGTAGGTCTAGACTAATTTAATTTTGGGATATACAGTCGGAATCATAAAACTGTGGAAGAGGAAGATTTTTATTCGTTGTATATTATAAACATAGCAAATACACAGCGCACACAGACCCATTTCACTTGCTAATTTGATTGTCACACTATTTTGCAATATCAAATACACAGAATATTGCTTGAATGCCTACTCTAGTAAGCATTCATTGAATTAATATTCCAGTGTTAGTCCTACTTATCTTATTTAAAGAAAAACAGGATAAAATATATAGAAATAACAATTTAACAATTGAAAAATCACGCAACCTCGCGTATAAATAGTAAAAGTGAAAAATTTAGTAGCTTAGTAGGTTTGTAGCTTTTGGAAAGTTCGTTAGCTCAGTAGTTTTGTATGTCGTTAGTCAAATAGTGCGATGGCTCATGAGTCATTTAAGTTAAATTAGCTTCTAAAAGTGGATTGGCTCATTACTATTCCGTGGTTCATAAGATTTTGTCCTGTTGAGTAGTGCTTTAACACCTTAGCATTGCAGCTTAGTACTTTATTAGCGCATATGGTCAGAAAGGCTTGTTATAGCTTATTATTTGAAGTTAGGTCAAGTATGAAAATTTTAAAAATGTTTTCTCACTAAGGCAAGAAAGGATGTAAACCTTAACAAAGTTTTAAGGCAGTAGTTATCTAGCTTTGTAGCTTAGTCGTTCGTAAGCTTATTAGTTCAATAGCTTTTTTAGTTCATTTGCTTGGTAGTTCATTAGTTTAGTAGCTTATTAGTTTATTAGCTTATAATTAGCTTATTAGTTTATTAGCTTATCATTAACTTATTAGTTCATTAGCCAAAAAGTTCATTAGCTTATTAGTTCATTAGTTTGTTGGTTTATTAGCTTATTAGCTCATTAGTATATTAGTTAATTGGCTTAGTAGTTATTAGCTTAATAGCCTGATAGATCAGTAGCTTAGTAGCTCATCCGCTTATTAGCTTAGCAGCTTAATAAGTTATTAGCTTAGTAGTTCATTTGCTTAGTAGATGAGTAGCTCATGAGCTTTTTAGCTTATTCGCTTAGTAGTTAATTAGTTTAATAGCTTTATAGATCAATAGCTTAGTAGCTTAGTAGTTAATTAGTTTAATAGCTTAGTAGCTTAGAATAGTTATAGCTTAGTAGCTTAGTAGCTTAGTAGCTTAATAGCTTAGTAGCTTAGTAGCTTAGTAGCTTAGTAGCTTGTAGCTTAGTAGCTTAGTAGCTTAATAAGTCATCATCTTAGAGTTTATTACTCCATAATATTTGAGAGTGGATGTTCTTTCTAATAAACAAAATTATGTTTGATGTTTTTTTATTCCTTCTTTCTTTCATCATCTGATATTAATCTTTAATGTTCATTATAAGATAATCTTCAGAAAAAGGAGAGAAGGGGGGGGGGACTCTGCCAATCAGCGTAATTATTTTATTTAGTTATAGATATCTGGGGCATTATAGAAGATACATATATGAACTTTAGTTATCGCTAAAAACATAATTAGGTATTGTAAACTATCAAATCCCTTGTAAGAGTACGTTTGAATGGTTTTTGTTGTATTGTGCTGTTTTTTTCTTTTCTTTAAATTTTATACATTTTATAAATTTTATACATTTATACATTTTATACATTTTATACATTTTATACATTTTATACATTTTATACATTTTATACATTTTATACATTTTATACATTTTATACATTTTATACTTTTATACATTTTATACTTTTATACATTGTATTTCTTTTTCATCTTATGCAATGCACAGCTTTGACTATAAACCTGAACATGAATTTATTCCTGTGTAAAACAGTGGAGGAGGAGTGAAATACAAAAGAGCATTACAAATAGAAAATAATTCTCCCACTAATATTTTTTAAATACGGATTCTGATCCAGCTTAAATTTTTTTTTAATTCTTTCACCATGAAAGCAATTTTTTCTTCGATTTTTTGTATAAAATTTAGATTTTTTAAAATTTTATCGTATCTTTTTAGCTAGTTGACAGTGGTGACACTTGAGATTTGCGTTTTAAGATTAAAAGTTTTCTGTGATCCAGATTAGGACCATGGGAGCTTAAGTGTTGCGGATTTTAAGTGGATCCAGATCCTTATTTTCACTGCAATAAAACTGCATAATACTTAACACAATTATCAAAGGAAAGGAACTTTGGAACATTTTCGTCTTTGCAACCTGATCGTGAAAACTTTTGATAATTCAAGCTTTGACAATATGATTTAACAAAACTTATAGTTGGAAATATCAAAAGTTTACAACATTGTGTTGCAAAGATATAAGAATTAAAATATCTTAGTTACACCCACTTACACCCATTTACACTCACTTACAATATTCAAAGCCCAGTTTAAACAAAATTTGACGAAAATATGGTTTATTTTTTGATTAGCTGAAAGGTCTGGCGTTGCCCGTGGAAAAAAGAGAAAATTAAAATAAGTAAAATATTTTTAATAACATTTTTTTATCCTATAACACCCACCGGCAACCCATGAATGTCAAAAAAAAATCAGCCCATTCGGTCCAGTCGTTTGGCCGGCTATACCCAACATATATATGAATGTGTTGTTTTATTATATAGATTAATTTTTAGCAAATTTTGCAACTCAAACTCGAAGTCAAATTGAAGAGGGGTTCTAGTTTTATTGGAATTTGGTATTCATTAACGACTAAAGAGACATGGTACGATTTGTTCAACTTACTTTTTTTTGTCACCAAGATTAAAGTATGAGGTTCAACTACTAGTATATCTAGTTCAACATTGAACAAATCTAGTAATAATAATTTTACATTGGGTTTTGTATTTTAGGATGGAAAATGTGACCCAAAGACGGAAAGCTGAAAGAATACAAATTATCATAGAAAAAAAGGAAAAATTTAGGATTCCCCTAATTTAATAAATAGTTAATTTTAGATATTTTATTCTGTTCAGATTTATAATTTTCTTATCTCTTATCAAGAGACCAACACAGTGTTTATCTTTTAGTAAAATTTAAATTTAAATTTAGTTGTAGTGAATCATCAGTATTATTACATCAACGTTTTTATTTCTTCCTGATATATTTCAACATGATTAAAATTATAAATTGATGACTTTAATGTTTTTTTTTAAATAATAAGGAGCTCAATATTTCTTTCCTCAAGAGTTTTTAAAATTAAAAATAAAAGTTTCATGTACAAATATTTAAATGTTCAAGTAAGATTATTTTTTATTTAAAATGCCAAGAAAATTTCAAGTTTATATTCTCTAAAATAGCTTGCAAAGACAGTTCACAAATATTGTTTAATTTCAGAATCGACAATCAAGAAAAATGGTGAAAGTAGTGGTAAGTAAGCATTTTATTTTACTTTCAGTTTCTTTAGTACACTTATTCTGTTATATGAATCTCAGTCTCTATTCTTAAGTAGATTACTTAATTAGTAAGTTATATAGTTGAAGTTTCAAGACCGACCAATCTCTCTTTTTGTGTGAAGCTTCCAACTTATTTCGTCAATAGTTAAAGTGATTGTTGTTAAGTTACCCTCCATATAAAGATTATTTATGTAACAAAAAAGCCACTTTAATAGAGAAATCACAGTTAAAAAATAGAAAGAAATCAGTATATCGATTAATTTTTGTTGAGTCAAAGATTTTAAGATCTTACACGTCACTCTTTTAATGCTGGGACACTTGCAGTTACGCCTATAGAATATTTAATAATTGTTCAAAATAAAGAAAATTTATAAAACATTTTATTAAGGTTGAGTACTGTGGCGGGTGAGGGTATGGTCCCCGTTATCGGGAACTAGCAAATCTCATCCGAGAGGTGAAGGAATAGAGTTTTTGTCCCAAAATCTGATTTTTAACCCTGATATGTCGCAGACCTTTATATTTCAAACTGTAATTTCTAATACAAGAAACAATAAGTTTGAAATATCAAAGGTTTAACATATTAGTTTTCAAAGATGACTTAATATCAGATTTTATGGAAACAATATTTTTCCTAGATTAAAAAAGTAAAAAAACTGATTACTCGCAACAAACAATTTTTTTCCAACACTCATGACTTCAGAGCTTTAGGGTGTAAACCATATACAAAGCTTAAAGTTCTGCGTCATGTTTCAAAGATATATGGATAACAAATAGATTAATCAAATCAAAATGAAATGTGTGGTTTTTCTTGAATGGGTAAAGATTAGAAAATATGTGCAACTAGTCACAAATAACAGAGATTAATTGTGTATGAAATTCTGTTCTTCATATTCTGTATGTAGGATCCGGATCTTGATCCAGAGTTCACATTTTCTAAATAATTAAATTTGAAAACGAACATTCAAATCTGCTTTAACCGAATCCGAGTCTGTAGCACATAATTAAGCACCAGTACCCGGATCTGGGTTTAAAGCACAGTTTTTGACCGTTGGAATCCGGATCAGAGTGGCTCATTTTCGAACACCATTATTTAGGTCAATATATCATTAATTGAACACAAAGAGCAGGATCCGGGTCCGTAGCACATTCTTCAAACACAAGTTTCTGGATCCGGGTCCTCAACACATTCTTAAAGCGTCATTATTTATCCGGGACTGTAGCCCTGTAATATGTTGTAACAATAGGCTGTTCCTGAAGCGGATATTAAAGGAGTAGTTGGGCGTAGAACATCATTCGAGGTCAGTAAAGTTTATAATTAAATTGGACCCCCTCCTCCATTTTTTATACAGTCTTTGTCGCGTACATCAATACAACGAAGACGACTTCCGCTTTCAATTTTGATTCATATTTTTAAACAGCATGGACACACTTAAACATGGAAACAAAGAGAAGCTGTCGATCAGAAAAAGCTTCTTTTTTAATACTGGTCAACTTTTAAACTTAAAATTCGAAAAAAGCTCACAAACAATCGGAACTTAAAGTTTTCTTCATTGAAATGATAAAACCGTCTAGTAGCCTACCACTGTACATACACATTAAAGGGAGTGTACACGTAATTTCAAATGATCCTCCATTTAATGAAGTGCTTGACTAAGATTCAAAACGGTAAAAAAAGACATTGGAATGTATGTTCCCTTTAGCCGGCCAAACGGCAAGAACCGAATTGGCTGAAATTAAAAAAGAAAAAAATATTTTCACGGGCAATGCCGGGCCCTTCAGCTTGTAAACAATATATCCTTGATTAAACACTCGTGTTCTGAAATAAAAAACCTAAAATTTAAATATATTAAAACCCATTTTAATCAGTGAAGTTGATGGAGTAAATATAGTAGATATTTGTTCCAAATTTTATTGAAAATATATTTAGATCTGGAATTACCCTCGTTAGTTCTTGAGATCATTTGCGTCTTGAAGATTCTAAACACTCATTAAACATATTAAAACTGTTAAGGTTACAATAGATGACGCTCTAGTACACTCTAAACTGGCCACCATGAAGTTCCCGGACTTCGAAGAGGTTTGTATATAATAATAATATTTTTTTAATAATTTTGTTGTCCAATAAACGTCTTGACGGCACAAATGTCAGGCTCAACATTTTTGTTTGGGAACTCTCATGATTCTTTTTTCCAAAAATCTAAATTTTGAAAATCCACAAAACAAAACAAGAAAATCCGCTAAATTTTCCAAATATTTGAAATTAAAGAAAGGAAAGGTTTCTTAATGGTTATAGATAGATCAGTGGCTTAAACCTAAGATTAAAAGTAGAAAGAGTAGCGCCAAGTAAGCATGTACAAAATGTTATAGTTAAGTCTAAAACTTCTTGATTGAATAAGATACCTGAAGGTATATTAAGTTTGAGAGCAAAAATATTTTGTAGTAAAGCGTTTGATTTTAGCGACAAAGTGAAATTTCAAACTTTTTGGTCCATTTCTTGAATTCATATTAAATAAAAAAGTATCATCTTCTGTATATAAGGTTGAAATAAAGGTGGAAATTGTATGTGTGCATAAGTTTTAACATTTGGACTACAATTACACCCCCTTTGTGTATTTTTTGCACTGAAAACATTAGTTCAGTGATTTGTTATAATTTGTGTTTTTCAATCTTCTTTTTGTTTTAAAAACTTTGCTTCGTTTCCGGAAAAATAGAGTTAGAAAGTTTTAGACAAGAAATGCATTTTTCCACCGCAGAACTACAAATGGGAAGAGTTTTCTAGATAGGAAGAGTTATCTCCATAAATTGGTTTAGTTAGATAGACAAAAGTATTGTTATGATTTACATTTACTTATAGGTCTACTCGTATAAAAAAAAAGATAATTTATGATTTGATCATGTTGAAAGTTTTGAAGTAAAATTTTTGAGCTTGTGATTGTTGTTTCTAAACATTATTTTGAAATCTCTTAAGCTGATGAATTATAACTTGAAATTGGTAGAAATATCTCGCTAACTCGGAGAGGAGGTATTTCGAAACTAATTTTGTTTCATTTCTAGACAACTAAATCTTAAATTTAAAACAACATGACAGGTCTGAACTTTTGAATGCAGTTTAACCTAATCGATACGCCATTTAAAAAACATTAAGCATTATCGGACATGGTTACTGGATGACAGTGCTGTTAAAGCGTGGAATGGAATCGAAAATGGTTGTCCTAATTGTATCATTAAAAATACCCTTTGACTAGGTGGTCGAAATTGTGAAAGATGTTCGCGAGGGCAAATCTGCGAATAAAGTTACAAAACATCAAGATGGCGGCTGCTCTATTCTATAGACCTCCATCTTGGAAATAGAGGTAAAATAGTTGATAAGTTTTTGCTTTCAATATTTCATTTTTTTTCTCAGGAGTTTGAAGGTTTATTCTGAAATTCTATGATGACTCTCCAATCAATAGGTTTCCTATCTGAAGAGTCTGATGATTAATTGAACAATATTCCGGTACCTTCTCTGAGCCAAACCAAACCGTCAGCTGGGAAAATCCATCAATTAATCAGCTGATTTCATCAAATGCTTTAACAAGTCACCCAATTCAAGCCATCAAACTATCAGTAGAATTGTTAGGTCCGTCAACCAATCAGATTAACGGTTAAAACCCATCAACAGTGTGCTGCGCGCTATTTAAAAAAGGATTTGAAAAAATCTGCCGATTTATCCAAAAATCAGCTGTTTTGTAATTCCACCAAACAATCCACCAAATCCATAAAAATCAGCTGGTTTGTTAAAATCCATCAAACAATCAAATACTCCGTATGATTTCTTGTTAAGAAACAAATGATCTTAAACAATCCCACTGTTTATATCGTTTACCTTTCTATATGAATTAATTAATTAATTGTTTTGTCTGATTACCTTTTTTTCCCTTTTTAATGTTTCAAAATAAAAGTTAATAGTTTTAAATATTCCTGAAAATAATTTATGTCACAAAGAAAAGTTTTTGATTTAAAATTTTCAGAAAAATGAAATTCATATAAAATATGGCTGAGGAAAGCATGGAGAAATTTAGGAAATAAAAAATATTCCATGCCAAATGAATTTTTTCCTTTTTGTTGAATATTTTTTTTTAAATTTTTAATTTATGTTAATTTTTTTCTGTTATCCCTTATGTTTTTTGGGTTAAAGATTGAAAAATATTTGGTAAAATCTAGAAGTATTTAGTTATAAATTGAAAGCCAAATTCTAAATTATCTTTTCATTTCAGGGACGCAACAAGGTTTAAAAGTTTTGATAAAATATCCTTTCCTATATTTTTGCGTCCCCATTGCGTCACGTAAATGAAAAGATGTGTGATTTTTCTGCTTTGTTCCATTGCAACACTAAATCCAGGGATGCTATGTAACCAGGCAATCTGAAGGATGCACAGAAAATATCAGTGAATTTGTTTACAAGTAGGGCAAATCTTCTATTATCTTCCGTAGTCAAGATCTTAACTTTTGAGAGTGGAAAAATCAGTTTTTCTTACTTCTATTCATGCTTTTTCCGTTCTTTTTTAACATTTTTTCCTGTTTTTTTAGATTAATGATATTTTTGGTGAAAAGTTTCAAAAAGGATGAAAAGATTGCCTTTTTTGTCCAACGATATATTTTCCCCCATAGCATCAAAATCATTGTCCTTCTCTAGGATATATTAAAAACCCATGATTTTTTTAAATTGTACAATCCTAAAAAGCTGAATATTTTCTTATGTTAGATCTCTACACGATGAGGCGTATCTTTACATTAACCAAGCCATCACCCAGGGATGTACATGCAGTACACTTAACTTTATCGTATGTACAGTACCAAATATTTTACTGTACAGTACACTGTTTACTTTTCTTTACAGAACACTATATACTTTCCTTTACAGTACACTTAATACTTTCCTTTAAGTACACTTTTTACTTTTTTTACAGTACACTGTATACTTTCCTTTACAGTTCACTGTATACTTTCCTTTTCAGTACACTGTATACTTTTCTTTACAGTACACTGTATACTTTTCTTTACAGTTCACTGTATACTTTCCTTTACAGGACACTTTATACTTTCCTTTACAGCACAATGTATTCTTTCCTTTACAGTACACTGTATACTTTCCTTTACAGTACACTTTTTACTTTCCTTTACAGTACACTGTATACTTTCCTTTACAGTACACTGTATACTTTTCTTTACAGTACACTGTATACTTTTCTTTACAGTTTACTGTATACTTTCCTTTACAGTTCACTGTATACTTTCCTTTACAGTACACTGTATACTTTTGTTACAGTACACAATATATTGGAAAAATCTTTTCCATCATTAAATGATTTATTTTCCTCTAGGTTTCTCCAGCTAAATGAACAACTTTGATCTTGTTATTTTCTTTCTTGTTCAGGATTGCTTTGAAAACCATTGATGCCAGAAATTAGGTCAAAAACTTTAATCCTCAGAATTTATTTTTCTTTGGAATTTGTTTTTCAACTTTTTAGATTGAACCAATTAACTTACTCAAAGCTTTTATAAAAACTTGGTAATTTCTGGTTTAAAACAAATATGAAGGGACTCAGTAATCAATGAAACTCGTTTAGAATACAATTGAAATACCATGTAAAAGGTTTAGATACTGTTAAAAGGAAGCAAGGATGACGACAGTATCCATATTTGTGTCATAAACCTATTTTTTGCTAAAACAAGGACAATTTCAGACACAAGAAAAAGAAAGTTGATTTTTTAGTTTTGTTTCCAAATGCTCGCTTATATTGTTCCTACAGGGTTACCCAAATAGGATAAGGCTTCTTTGGGGACTATCTTCATCAGTGCTTAGGATCCATTTAATTTTGATGCGGATCAAGATCCTGGATCCGCACTGGAAAAAATGGATCCGGATCCGGATCTAGGTCATTTCTTTAAGATTACTGAATTTTTTTAATAAAAAATAATTTTTTAATTTTTTGTTTTATTTTTTTCGCTTATTTTTATCCTAAAACTTGAAGAACCCTTCAGAAATGAATAAAGTTTTATAATGTTAAAGTTCAGATTTGGGTTTTAGGAGTAAAAATTTTTTTGCAGTTTTTGGTCGATATTTTGGATCCGGATACGTGGATCCGCATATTTTTGCGGATCCGGATCCAGGAAGCCAAAATCTTGCGGATCCACCGGATCCTAAGCACTAATTAAAGGAAGAATTAAACTTGGAACAAAAAGTCGTAAAAAAATCGATTTTTATATCTCAGTTTTGAACTGGTCACAAACTTGGTACAAAAAATCGTAAATAGGCGAATTTTCATCACAGTTTTGAACTAGTTACAACCTTGGAACAAAAAAGTCTTCAAAATGCGAATTTTCATCACAGTTTTGAACTAGTCACAAACGTGTATAAAAAAGTCGACTTTGTCATCCCAGTTTTGAATAAGTCATAAATCTTGAACGACAATTTGACGGACGAAATTACAGTGTAGTACGTACATGCAGTGTAGTTTTTATTAACATCATATTGGAATTGAGTTTTGCCACAAACTTTAATTTTGAATCCTTTTATCTGTACAGCCTGATGGCGTAACTCTTTGGTATCGTAAACTTAGATTATTTGATCTAAAATGTATTATTTTTACAATAAATAATTCACTTTGAAAGGTCATTGAGTTTCAAAGATATTAGGGATTAGCATAGACTTAATTCCTTTCTAGTAAAATTGATAGTGTAGAGTGTACAGTGTAATATGCAGTGTACAGTGTAATAAATAGTAAACAATGTAATATACTGTTATACAGTATTCAGTGTAAGTAATATACTTTGAACGTTATAATATACAAAGTACAGTGTAATATGAATACAGTATACACAGTGTACATTTCAAAAGACAGTGTACAGTTCAATATTCAATGTACAGTTAAATATTTGGTATTGAATTTAAAATACACTGTACACTGTGCAGTTTGATATGCAGTGAACAATGTACAGTCTATATATTGTACAGTTTAATATACAGTGTAAAATATTACACACATTGTACGGCATATGTACAGGAGAAACCGGAGATTAACCGATTGGATGTTGCACTTATGATGTAAGAATTTTGTTATCAATACATTCTGTTAAGATTCGATTCCTGATCTGTGCTGATAAAAACTTATTCTAGATTTAGCTTCTAATTATTCCTAAACTGTTTACTACTTAATTTATTTTACAAAGAATAATTATAGATTATGGACGGAGCTAAGGCAAATTTTAACTTTGAAAAAGGAAAAATATGTTTTTTTTCAGGTACCAACGTGGTTTAGGGCTTATTGACCAGGCATTATGCATTGATACCGAAGGTAAAACATGATACAATTTCAAGAGTTTCTGAAATCAAAGTTTGTTCTTAAAAAAGAACTATACGCATGTTTTTTCATAAAACGGGTTTCTGATTAGTTGATAATTGAATGTTGAATATCTCATAAAATCTAAGGAAGATATAACAGTAATCTTCATATGTTTATATCTTTTTTCTTAAAATAAATGTGCTTCAAATTATGGAAAGAATTTGAACAAAACTCAGTTTGGGTAACAATGAGTTTGTTTACATTCCTCCCGGACTGCAAATCTGCAGTACATTTTTTTAATTCTTCATGGGCGTTCCTGGTAAATCTTTCTTGCTTCCGTCTTGTGTGTCAATCTTTTAAAAATATATCAAGCCGACAATTTCAAGCTGTAACAAGAAAGCTGGTGACCAGAAACCGTGGAATTTAATTACTAAATTTCAGGACGGATTTTAGAGATAAATCAGATTCAAATTATAACACTCTTTAGTGACATTTCCTCCTGTTTCTATCTGTAAAAATCGTATTTAAAGGAACCCCCTTGGCCCCGGTGTCCTGCATCAGTTCATCTAAGTGTAAACCATTTTAATNATAGGTTAGTATTCACGTAGAGTCTAGAATACATAATATCATCAATATTCTAGCAACCCCTGTTCATAGGTTAGTATTCACGTAGAGTCTAGAATTCATAAAATTACCAAACGTCTACCTCTCTCTGTATATTATAGTTAGTATCTATTTAGAGTCTAGACTCTATTATTACTATAATTTATTCAACTCATACAAATAAACATGATTAAAAGAAAAACTTGGACTGATTTTAGAAGTCCAGTGCCTCTGGCCCGACCTCCTCCCCCTCCAACTACTGCACCCGAACCTCCCTGTAGACCCGCTCCTCTTGGCTCCGCCCTACCAACTGCTCCACCCACTTACCATGAAGCTACCAGGGGTCAAAGCAACCCACCCACCTATGACCAAGCCAGATCTGTGCAGACGATGTAAGTACTGAATAATGGTAATGAAAGGGAGAAGATTATGTTAGGGGCTGTTTTTGTAATTTCAAGTGACTCTCCATTTAAAGAGGGCCATGTCCGATTCACAATTGTATCTTATAAAATTCTAAATGATCATTAATTTGGAAGATATTCTAGTTTGGCTATCATGAAAATTAAATTCTTTCATTCTTGTCACTTTTTATGGAGAAACCACAATTGAAAATAAATCATGATAATTTAGAATACATTTATCGGCCATGTAATTCAGTAAATGAAGGGTCAACTTAAATTACGTCAAGCTTACCTTTGAGAAAAATTAAAAGACGGGGGGGGGGGGATGGGTCGGGATAGGAGTTTAAAGGGGGCTATTTTACTCTATTCATCTTTTAAAAAGTTTTCCGTAAGCTTCAGTTTTGTGAAAAATCTCGTTAGAGGCTTTTTATCACAGAGAAATAAAAAGCATTGTTTGATTGTCAACATCTCTTATTTCTTGATGTATAAATTGTGAATGAACGCGGCATTTCTGCAATTTAGAAACATTTACAGAAATCAATAACTCTTTTAACATTTTTCTCTTGTTTTTATGCAAGTTTTTTGCAATCAAATGCTGTCGATTATTGATAAAAACAAAGAAAAAAATCTATCTTTTCCAGGGAAGCCATGGTTGAACCAGCAATATCAAAATTTGGAATTGGTGCAAATGGTGGTGTGGAAACTAACAACAGTTCCACAAGCGGAATAAGAAACTCCGACAGCAACGGTTCTTTATCCGAGCAGGGGCAAATTGTATTCACAATGCCTCTTGTTCAGATATTTCGAATATCCGCTAGCGTAAGTGTTCATACTCTTGCTTTTTTTATCTGCAACCTTAAACTTTATTTTGCTACCAAACTTTTAGATTTGTTACTTACGTCCCTAAAAGCCCCTATTTTTTTCTAACTTTTTAAACGTTCACTTTTTTGCTTATTTCTAATTTTTTTAAATTCTTCTCTTTCCTCTTTTCTTAAACTCGAAGTGTTTTTCGTCCTCATGAACTTCTTCTTACTCTTAAATGCTTTCTTTTTTTCCCTTATTCTTAATCCCCTACTTTTCCCTCTTAATCTTAATCTTAACCCCCTACTTTTCCAACTTAATCTTAATCCCCTACTTTTACTCCTTAATCTTAATCCCCTATCCCCCTTAATGTTAATCTTAATCCCCTACTTTTCCCCCTTATGTTAATCTTAATCCCCTACTTTTCCCCATTGATCTTAATCTTAATTCCCTACTTTTCCCTCCTAATCTTAATCTTAATCACCTACTTTTCGCCCTTAATCTTAATCTTACTCCCCTACTTTCCCCCTTAATCTCAATCTAAATCACCTACTTTTCCCCCTTAATGTTAATCTTAATCCCCTACTCTTCCCCCTTAATCTTAATCCCCTATTTTCCCCCTTAATCTTAATCTTAATTCCCTACTTTTCCCCCTTAATCTCAATCTTAATCCCCTACTTTTCCTCCTTAATCTTAATCCCCTATTTTTTCCCCTTAATCTTAATCTTAATCCCCTACTTTTCCCACTAATCTTAAATTTCCTAATTTTTCCCTTACAATCGAATTTATACATTTTCCCTTATTCTTAACCTTCTACATTTTACCCTTAATCCGAAACTTTAATCTTTAATTTCGTCATTTTTAATTTGAACCTTAACAACATTTTTGTTATAACTTTGTGTAAACTTCCTCATTTTCCCACATATTTAAACATCAACATTTTTCTCTTCCAATTTCTTGCCAATCATTTTTTAGCACACAGTCGTTTTTGTTTTTTAAAAACATTCCTTTTTTTGTATTTAACAAGCATTTTGTTTACAAACCTTTTTTTTTAACGAACTTATTGTTATTTGATATTGGTTAAATAACAAAAGAGTTTAATTAGGTACATAGCAAAAAAGTTTTTTTTTAATATTCTTTTTGTTCCTCTTTTTAAAAAACTTCCCTTTTGTTTGTTTGTTCCCCCCTATCGTGATAGGGAACAAACATTTTTTTTAGCAAACATTCTCTTTTTTTAACAAGCAATCCTTATGTTTTTGTTTTTCATAATAAACATTATGTTTTTTTTTTAAACATTTCTTTTGTTTTTGTTTTACCCTTAAGACTTTCTTAACCTACGTATCTCTCATTCTGAATACAGCATTTTTACCTACATACATCTCTCATTCTCAATACAGCATTTTTTTTACACATTTTTTTATTTTACGATTTTCTTTTATTCTTTAAATAATTATATGATAACAGATGCAAATATTTTAACATTTCTATATTTCTTGTTCTTCATTTTATTCTTCTTTGTACATCTTTCATCATATTTTGGCTAATTTTGAAAAAAAAAATTTGAGACATCCAAGCAGTTGGAAAAGCCACTAACTTCAGGAAGTATAGGTTGAGAGGCTCCAGCTTTCCCATTTTCCAGAACTCTGTTTTGATTACACACATTAGATCTGTGTCAGCTAAATTCAAAAACAAACACTTATTCTTGATATTCTATATTTCGGGTGGGTAAGTGGAGGGTGNCCAGACCCATATTCCCCTGTTCAATTTTTTTCTTCATATTTCTTGTAATTTCTCAATTTTGAGTTTCTTACAGTAGCTCTTTCCTGACTTTGGCATTTTCTTCGTTTGAGGCCTCTAAAAATAGTTCTTGTGACATCGAGTTGTAAAGCAGGAAGGAAGAAGATATGGAGGTTTCTAGGTGGGAGGGTATGAGGGATATCTCCCTGTTTTCCTTCGTGTTAAAGTCTTTCTGAAGTGGAATTAAGGAACCCGTAACTGGACTGCTTATACAAAGTGGGAGTTGAAAGCCTTAAAGCCCCATTAGGTGGAATATTTTACTGTAGTCCAGTCCTCACAGCCAGTTGAGTAAAATACCGGTATCATTGTGCATGGCTTGTATACCTATCAGAGAGCAGAAAGCAACTGCTCTCAATACAAAATAATCAACCTTATTATCAATATCCCTTTTGATTAATTAAACCAAATCAAGTCGAGAAACCCAAGTTGAGAACTTTTATAAAATCAATATTGATTGGGAGAACAGATTTGACTAAATTTATTTGACAGCAAAAAATTATAGATTTTTACAAAAATGTTGTCTGAAAGGGACTGTAGAGGGAATTTTGAGCATCTTTCCATTCATAAAGTGTCCTATTCACAACGGTACCTTTTTCTGATTAAAAATACATGAGATATCTACAATCAATTGTGACTTTTCCATTAAGGAATTTACGGAATGCTGCCTCAGATAATGGTGCTGTTGTGAATCGGACATGCGCCTCTGTAAATGAAAGGTCACTTGAAATTATGTCTACAGTCCCTTTAAGATACTAAAACTTAATTTTATAATGATTTGATTTCAGGGAGAAGTAACTACCCCGTCCTATCCTGATATCCTGGAAATTATCAAGGAACCTTGTATTCTAGTATAAACCGGGATTACTATTCTCAAGAAGTATCCCCCCCCCCTCAAGTACCCCCGGGAAATAATTTTGAATGTTGTACAGAAAATATTATTATTTTTTTTTTCGTAAAAAAATATATACCCCGGAGGAAGAAAACATGTCTGCCCGTCTATTCTTACATAGTGTTGGAATTAATTCTTTCCAAGCTTAGAATGCATTTTCTTTTCTCATTCTAAACCTTTGTTAGAAAAGTACAAAAATATTTTCAATTCTTCTATCTTGTGTTCCAGTGTTAGCATCGACTTTTTTCATCCGAAATCATTCATTTCTATTCGGCGACCATTATGGAATTTATTCAAATAACTTCAAATGGCTTAAGTTTAAAATTTGAAATTGAAGTCGAAAGATTTAGTCTGAAGTTTGAATTGTGAACATTTTCTCTTTGTATACATTATAAACAATATCAAAAACAGTTTGCAGTTTAAAAAAATGTAACAGTGGATTTTCTAAAGTTTTTGAAAATCAATATAGTTGGAGTAAAATTTTGAAATTTTTATCATCCATAAACCTTCCCTAGGGTCATGAAAGGTCCCACAAAAAAATTGGGCCCGATCTATTAAGCCGTTTTGACGCTTATTGGATGCAAACAGACAAGCAGACACCAAGACAAGCAAAGTATATAAATAGATGTGCCAACTTAAAGATTTTGCATATTAATGAAATAACAGCAATTTGTCAAAGAATGCCATTTTGAAATATACTACTTATCAAATTTTTGTAGAGACTATTGAATGTTTAGAAAATGGAAAATCTGGATCCAAATCCAATCTGGATCCAAATCCAATCCGGATCCAAATCTAATCTGGATCCGAATCCAATCCGGATCCAAATCCAATCCAAATCCAATCCGGATCCAAATCCAATCCGAATTCGAATCCAATCCGGATCCAAATCCAACTTTAAGTTCTGTTTTATATCTAGTTTGTTAATTTAATGAGTATCTGATGATTTTTTTTGTATCCAACAAAATGTTTTGACAGATGTCCAATAGGCCCTCTCTTTGGGTCTCCGATATGTCTCTGATAACAGTAATTGCTTCTTTGCTAAAGAAACCTTTGGTCTAAAGAAACTCTAGATATTAATTTAGTTTGTTATTTCAAGTATCCCAGAGCAGGGGGTCTTAAACCTTTACTACTAGGGATGGACATCATTTTCGTTTTTTTCGGTTTAAAGACTTGAAAACAATCGTTTTTTGGGGGAAATCATTTCGTTTTGAATGTCTAATTTGGGAAACGTTTTTCTTACAAAACAAAACGATTTTTTCCCAGAGCGATTTTTTAAAACGATCATTAATGATCATGATGTGATTTTTCAAAATTAGAACACGATTGAAAAAATTGTTGTAAAAACTCCAATTTGAAAAAAAACGAAAAATATAATTTTTGTTCTATAACGATTTTTTTAAAACTACAACTTTCAAAAACGACGGTTTTGAAATTTTCCAACACGACAACTTTTAAAAACAATCATTGTAAAAATAAATTTAATAACTATAGTTTTGAAGTTTTTAAAACCACAACTTTTATAAGCGATCGCAATGAAATTTTTGGAAAATTTCAAAATAACGTTTGAAAAAAAACGAAAGTGCCTGTCCCTATATTACTACCACTTACATTTTACACACTTTCCATAAAGTCAAATAAAATATCTTCTAGGTTTCTACCCATTCTCTACCCCAGTACATTTTGCATTGATGGGTGGGGGTTTTAAAGGAAATAGTTCTTGTAAACGCCATTAAATCCTTTACCTAAGAATAAAAAAATTCGTTTTTATATCGGTTTAATTTTTACATTGTTATTTTTTTCATTCTGCTTAAGCCTTATTTTTGAGAAACCCAAATGAAATTCATCATTGTTGGTTAGACTTAGTACCGTTGTGCATCAGAGGGTCCCGGGAAATTACGGCGAGAGGTTTAATGCGATATTGCGTTTTTATGTTTGTCTGTTTTCCGTGTTTTGAAAGAAGAAAAACATTTACTTAGACTAAACCTGTAGTTATAAATACTATCTTCTATCTAGAATAACATAAATTCAATCTTGAGGTACTTAAACACTGCAAAAAGCTCTATTTTATTTAGTCGCCATACATNGGGTATTATTTTTTATGATCTGGGAAAAATTTATGATTTTTCAGGAAGAAAACTTTTGATATTAATTGCGTTCTCTGTGTCTACCAAACTTAAAGTTGATTCTGTAATGATTAATCATAGTGTCAGATGGGTGTTCAAGTCCCATCTGGAAAACCTGTGTCATCAAAAAACATAATTTTTTTGTCTTCTTCTGAATAAAATGGTTTGATTAGTTTACAAGAGATCACCATTCTGCTCAGCTTCCACCGGCCTTTATCCAGGTAAATTTACAGTGACTACAAGGAATCTCCAGTTGTCTTTGTTCATTCTTTTAACTAAAATCTAGGGTTGTAGTTATGTCCAATGCAACCGATGTATCTGTAATAATTATTTCTAACACTTATTTTGGTTCGCAATTTCAATGGCTATTTCTAGATCAAATAAGCTTTAAAACAAAGCAGGAGTCAAAATATAAAGTTGATTTTAATTCTATTTTCATTTCAACTGAAAAAAATATTTGGGAAATATCCTAAATATTTTTGAGAAAATCCGGGAACCAAAACTTTATAGCACACGTATAATGTACAGATAATTTAACTTTATAGCAGGTTTATTATGAAATTCACGATGAAGAATGATAAGTTTCATAAAAATGTTTTGTTCAATGAGTGGCAAATTATGAAATCCTTATAATGATATTTCAAAATAATAAAAACAGATAATAGTCTCCAGTTTATCTGGCGTCCTTAATGGGACTGTCTGCCTAGTTTCAAGTGACTGTATGCCTAGTTACAAGTGACTGTCTGTCTAGTTACAAGTGACTGTCTGCCTAATTTCAAGTGACTGTCTGCCTAGTTTCGAGTGACTGTCTGCCTAGTTTCTAGTGACTGTCTGCCTAGTTACAAGTGACTGTCTGCCTTGTTACAAGTGACTGTCTGCCTAGTTTCAAATGACTGTCTGCCTAGTTACAAGTGACTGTCTGCCTAGTTACAAGTGACTGTCTGCCTAGTTTCTAGTGACTGTCTGCCTAGTTACAAGTGACTGTCTGCCTAGTTTCAAGTGACTGTCTGTCTAGTTTCAAGTGACTGTCTGCCTAGTTACAAGTGACTGTCTGCCTAGTTACAAGTGACTGTCTGCCTAGTTTCAAGTGACTGTCTGTCTAGTTACAAGTGACTGTCTGTCTAGTCACAAGTGACTGCCTGCCTAGTTTCAAGTGACTGTCTGTCTAGTTACAAGTGACTGTCTGCCTAGTTTCATGTGACTGTCTGCCTAGTTTCAAGTGACCCTTCTGTTCAAAGGATGCATTCTCTATTCACAATGGTACCCTTTCAGTTTAAAGCTTTGTTTCACCAAAAGTTAAAAAAAAAAATTTTTTTCATCTGAAAATGGAAATAAATTTACAAATTGACTCCAGTAAAGCATGTGTAAAAATATCGGTCGTTCAGAAAACTTTTTTTGTGGGGGGGGGGTCTTTCTTTATTATCTAGAATCTGCATAAAAGATTTAAAATTTAAATTTTTTCTCTCAAATTCGTTAGTAGAATTTATTATTATTTGCAAAAAGAAATGCGCAAAATAAGACGACATTTTCATTTTTTTAAGTCGTTTAACATTGCATTTTAAAGATGCAAAACATTTGCAAAATTTATAAGAGTTTGGTCAAAATGGAAATTTTGGATAGTACGGAAAATACTCGTTAAAAAATAATTACGTATTTTCCCGTTAATTTTCACACAATATCTTTTATAAAACTTAATTATTTTATTGCTCAGGCTATGAACAACAAAATGTGTGTGGGTTTCACTTGCTGGGTACAAATGATGTCCCAAAGCTACAATTTTCTTTAAATGAAGAGATTTGTATTTAAATCTACCATCTTGAAGAAAATTGTAAATTCTTTTTTCATATGTAAAACCAAGTTGTACAATGTACAAGAATTATACTGGATTCTCTTTTTCTTACTTTCTGTATTTTAATTTTAAGGATTCAAGAAAAAAAAAAAATCCACCTATAATGAAATTTATAAGTTTAAAATGGGTTAGAATGGAAAAAACGTTAAGACCACTACGTTCGGTGTGAAAATACTTTCATTTTAATCTCAAACAAACTAGAAAAAGTAAAGATCCCGACAAAAACTTTTTCGCATTTAATAATACCCATTACAATGACATAAATAGACATAAAATTCACCAATTAGGGTTTCAGCAAAAAAGATAAATAATTTCATTGAAAATTTTGCATTTTTTTGCATTGAGACGATGGAGGGGTGCTTGAAGAAAGGGATGGGGAGAGGAATGCTCAAATATTTTAATGGTTTTTGCTCATATTACATATATTTGGTGAAATTTGATATTTTTTTCCAAAAACAGAGGGTCTGAGGAGGTCGGCCTGGCGTCTAAGACTAGGTTTCAGACTCTTAGATTCTACCCGGGAAAGAACTTTTTTTGCGAAAGTTTTTTTCACTGAAACCCTTTCTAGAATAAATATGAGTAATTTTTGATAATTTGTTCAATTTTTACCCATTATAACCAAATATTTCTGCACTTATCCCGTAGCTGTATACAGACGCATTAATTTTGCCTACTGAGTATCGACAACCAAAATAAAACCCGGCAATATATGATATCTTTTTCCTTTAAATATGCCACTAGGCATGATTTTAGATCATGAAATCTGCCACAAAGTCTCATGCCACAAAATCTCTATATGAGCCACTGCTGGATCAAGGTACTAATGCACAGTTAATTGCGGTCGCGTATACTCTGTGTACATATTGAAACCAGTTCTCTTAGGGCGGAAATTGTAACCAAGAATAGAAGCATCAGCTTACGTCTAGTATCCCAGGAAGTTAAAAGCATTAAATTTTGATAATTTTGAAAATTCAAATAATAGTTTCCTATGACCAGAATATTTCATAGATTATTTTTGTGAAAATTGATTCTATGTCAGGCGGTGACATCCGTCTTGTGTTTATTTTTCCGCCCAGAGACAGTATATTGCAGTACAAAAAATGCGTACACCTCTGAAATAACTTTCCTTGCATTAGAACCTTGTGCTAAATGTTTCTTTTTCTTCATCAATATGCATCAACTTTTACAATATTTTTATAAATTGAATCAAAGTGGCTGTAAGCGTTATTTCAAACCCTCCATGTAAAGATAGCAATGCCCGATTTACAACGGTACTCACTGAAATCTAGACAACTCTGAGACTTAGTTATTTTTTATAAATTTTTTAAAAGCCTCGATTTAAAAATGTCCCAACGTCTTAGCCTTTGGTTTTATTCCACCAACTTAGTTATACGTTTTTGTAGTCCTAGACATAAACATTTAAAAAATGCAAATCTCTTGTTTCTAGCTTAAGTTTAAAAGGAGTAATTGCTTGATTTTTGTTTTGAGAGCTTGTACATCTTGATTTGCAGTGTACTCTTGAAACCTTCATCTGCTCAACAATGTGGAAGAAACCGTCGTTTTTCTGACTCGAAAAGTGTTTATTTCTGTGAGTTTCTCTCCATTACTTCTTCCAAACAAGGAATCCACAAAGAAATAAAAAAGAAATCCAAACATTGATTCAGGGCATTGCCATCTTTGCATGGAATGTCAATTGAAATTACGCTTACAATCCCTTTAATGTCTTTTTTTTCTTCAGCCACACCTTAGTATACAAACCATTAACAATAATTTTAGATTTGCTTTTATGCACTTAAATAAGGGACATTTGATTTTAGTAAATATATAAAATAGATAAATAGATAAATAGATAAATAGATGAAAAGCAAAAGTTAGAAATTGTCAACGTTTTCCCAGCCCCATATTGAATGATATATGTTTTATTTTAATTAAATTTTCAGATTCTGTTTTGAATAAATCTTATCTATGCAAGAAGGATTCTGCTGGATTTCATATAAGTTTTTATTTTGCAGAGATATACGTTTAGTTTTAAATTTGAAAAGAATTCAGCTGCATACTTTCAACAAATTTTGCATATTAATCGGGCTCAGGGATCCAAAGCGTGCAAGTTTTCACCCAAAAATCTCAGAGAATTTTGCTAATTACACCTTAAAAGTGAAGATAAAAACAAGTGCTTTATTAATCTAAAATGTTTATGTCTAGGGCTACAAAAATGTAAACTGTGTTATTGAGGTAGAATCAAAGGCCAATGCGCTGAGACACTTTTTCTATCAGCCTGAATCTATAATGTGGTCGTTCATAGCGATATTTTTCCAGTTGTTAAAATTAAATGTTGAAACCCCTAACTTTTCATTCTTGAAAAAAGTATATCTCTTAAAGGGAACTAAATTAAACTTTGGGACTCATGTTTTAAATCTTTTTTATCCTGAGCTGTAAACTTTAGAAATCTGGATATTGAGATTAATGCTTGATCTTCTCTTTTTCTCAATATCGAGATTAACCTAATCTTGTGCTTGTATCCTGAAAAGTGTATAAAATTCCACCAATCAGAGTCGCGTATATGAAAGCCGATTAATTTGAAATTTTGCGCGCCATTTAAGATACAGAAACAGGAGGGACTCTCTAATTAAAAAAAAACCCGGTTTTTGATCTTTCTCTACTATATCCAAGAAAGAACGGTTTAAGAAGAAAATCAAAAGTGTGTCCATTGGATACACAGATTAAGTAATAATTGGGATTAAGGATATTTCAGTCTAAAGTTTTCAGCTCTGCTGGTATAATGCTTATAACAAAATATATTTTTTTTGAAAGTTCTCTTTTGTTCTCTCTGTTCGTTTATTTTTAAGTACATATATTTTCAACTTATAGTGTATGCCAAGGATAATTTCTTTTGTTGAATACATACATTTAAAATTACTTTTTGAATTTTTCAAACAATTTTTGAAAAATGTGCAATTACAATTAGTTAAAAATGTTGTTAAAAACCCATACATAAGTAAATTAGATTTTATCTTCAACATAAACGATTTCTTTAATGTTATTTTTACTATAAACATTAGAATTACTGTCTGACATTTTCCGTTTTTAATTCTCTAAATGTTGAATTTTTTTCTACAGTGAGAACCTAAAAATTGTGGAGAAGGAAGATGAAATAAAGAGTAATTTTAGAGTGTATTTGATGTTGTTTAAATGCACATATTTTTACAATTAGATTTGAATAAAATTAATGCACCAGTACACACTACATAATTCCAGCCGCTCGCTATGGAAATGTCTCACCACGGAAATGCAAAAAAGAAAAAAGAAAAAAAAAGATGTTTTCTAATAGTTTTCGGAAGTTTGTAGTGTTGAGTGTATTGGGGAATGTGAGTTGATCCTTATTTATACAATTTAATCTTGTTG